GTAATCTCGTCCGTGCTACCGGTATACGATAGCGGGCCATCAATGAGGGATGATAAGTAAGGATGAAACCAGGTCAGTTAGCCCATCGTGACGTGATAACAAGAATTAAACACAATGGTCGCTAAGGGGAACTGGTGTTGATCGTCTTGACAAGGTATATTGCTAGCAATGGGGATTAACGTCTTCATTCCTCTTCTCTCACGGGATACCAGTTAGGAATAAAAGGACAAAATAAAATCGGTCTATGACTTATCGTCATGAATTTATCAGGGATTGACATGACAAGACTTGTGCCTTAAGTCTTGTGTCATAGAGTTGTCCCAATACTCAATGTATTAATTACTTAGTTGTGGTACCTGGTAGAAGTTGTTACACAAATTTGACTACTTCTGTTGGCATTCGGGTAAGATACTCACCATCTTATTATATATATAAACATAATGATTGATTAATATATTAAAAGATTAAGACTAAGAGGTAATAAACTCACTTTCGCATTTATAATATAAGTAAGGATTCAAATTTTATTCACTATTTAAATTTTATTTAAACAAGGATTATTTTACAAAATAATATTACAAAAAGCAATTAATGTCTATTGAAAGTACACAGTATTTTTTTTTTACAGTCGGAGTGGTCAATCTATTGAAAGGCCTAAAACATTATTACAAAAAAAATGAATTGTACGTCAATAAGGTTTGAAAAATCTAGGACTAACGTTTGGTAGTACCTACCTAGTGCATTAAGAACACAATTGCTGAAAAAGCTACAAGTTAACCATTGTTCAAATAAATAATATATACGTATCTAAAAACACTTGCAGACAATGTATGTAGAGAACGATGTACCACCTAACTGTATTATTCCATAATTAAAAAAAAAATATTAAAATAAATAAATAAACGTACCTACCTAATCGATGAAAGGATTACAAAAAATTCGCAATTATGCCAAGGAAAGAATCGCTTGTGGAATGTTCGAGTTCATTCATAATTTCCAATTTTTATCATCGGCGTGGGAACAGAAAGGATATTTTAACGGTAAAAGGAGTTTGCTTTATGAATGGAACTAAATAACTAGTTTAGGAATCCCATGAGAATATATAGATATATCTACGCTAAGTGATGCAGATGTTGGATCACTTAAACCACTTTGAATGTTATAATCTTGAATATTTGCGATATACTTTATACATGCCTAAGTAGTATTCTTTTATTCATCCCCACATAGATTTCAATTTTTTATTTGGCATGACTGTCTACCTATAATGTTAGTATAACTATGGTGTTGTTACTCTAAGTTTAATTTAGTTGATTATAGGTTTTAGCAATATCTTGTGCATTAGTTAAATCTTGTTTTATTTGTCAAAACCTGTAATCTGTAAACCTGTCATATATAATATGTATAATTTATATTATTTTCTTAAAAAGAAATTGTATCTAATGAATGATATTATTTAGGTGAAAAGTTTATATATATATATATATATATATATATATATATATATATATATATTCTTTATTGCACTAAAACATACAGCAACAATAATAAGTTAATAACAATGTTAGCAATCTCTAAAAGAGATTTCTTCCAGTCAACCTAACGCAGCTTATTCATAACGCAGTTTATTCAGCGTATGTGTAAATAAATAATTGACTTTTCGTCTTTACTGTTTTTTTTATTATGAAATTTTCTAGCTGTTGCTTTTTCTTTTATAAAAATAAATAAATAAAATAGATACTAATTTGCGGAGCATCAACGGTACATGTAAAAAAATGAAAAATCAAATCAGTTGACCCATCAGTGCGAATTCAAGGTGAATTAATAATAATAATTACTATTATTGGAGGGTGGGAGGGGGGGCAATAAAGTATGTGGAAATCGGCCTGACAGGGTATATTATATTCTTTTACTGGAAAATCTCGTGGGTGCTCATGCTCTTTTGATGACCACATGGTCATCCATGCATGAGTACCCACTCATTATCATTATTGATTCAGTTGAAAGACGTACACTGTTTGTATCAATGGATACGATCGATCTTTGTATTGACGCCAGATGGTCGATTTTCAATAACTGCATTTAGAACTTAAAGAAATTGGTATACTAACAATAAAGTTATGAATAACAGTAGGTTGTTTTTATATTCCTATTATTCCAAAAGCAATAACAGTAAAAAAATCGGCTCTACATCAAAAGTATCTGGTGGGAACTGAGAACACATTTAGGATGCACCATGCTCGTTTTAGTAAACAAGCAAGCATAACCTAAACAGCAGATAATGTTACGAGGATTATTATAGTTGTATTATGATATTTAGCGTCACGGGTATTTTTTTTTGAAGTTGCAAATGAAATGGTAACCCCGCCTGCGCTATTGGTTAGGTGATGATGAAGATAGGTCTATAGGCCCACTTTTCAAAAATCAACAAGAATTAATCACAATAGTTTCCAGGAGAAACCGAGTGGAGGTCGAACTGATAGGGTATATTGTTAGCAGTTGTGTTTTACCCCATTACTAACAATCTTGTCATGGGTACTCCGCACCTACTATTTACCTCTCGTGGGTGCTGGAGTCCCCGAGTATCCATGGAGTCGGCGCCTCTAATATTGTTAATAATAGAGCAACAAATAGTTAGTTGATTCTCTTACTACTTACCTGTTGAATTAAATAATACGTAATTATTATTATTATATACTATATTAAGTATTAAAACCTATTTCATTACATAGAAATAGCGTAAATAATGCTAAAAATAAAAAAAATAAACATTTATAATTAAATAAATCTCCATAGATTTATTTAATTATAAATGTTTATTTTTTTTTTTAAATAAAGGGAAGACATTTGGTTGTGTGTGGATGACAATAACCACACAAATACATTGTGTAAAGCATTGTTTACAAAACTCTCCCTGACTTGACTGGAGCAGCGTTATTTGTACCATACGGGTTAAACTGTTGAAGTAAACTGTTGAATAAAAAGTTATCTGTCCTGTTATTTACCATAAATACTGGACATTAATCTTTTTTTTTTAATATATAAATATCCTACGTCACGATGTCCGTTTACGCTAATCTGCGAAATTCGATTACTTTGCTCAAGTTGGAGCAAATAATAAAATTTTAAAAATGTGTAAAAAGCTTTAACTTGAGAAATATGGTAGTTTTTATCCAGAAGAGAAAAAATGATGACAGTAACGGCAAAACAACGTTTGCCAGAGTTTTTTTAATTGGTGATAATGGAATGGTAACCCCACCTGCGCTAATGGTATACACCGGCGAGGCACCAGTGAAGGATGATAGGTGAACATGAAGTAGGTCAGTTAGCCCATTGTGACGAATTCAACAAGAATTGTTCACGATGGTTTCCAGGGGGAACCACGTGGGGGTCGACCTAATAGGGCATATTGCTAGCAATGGGGCAAAGGGATAATAATCCCTTCCCCCCCCCCCCCCGTTTGCCAGAGTAATAATAAGAATTTTTAATCACTTAATGATTTTGATTTTCATATTTTAACAATATTTCTAAAAACAACACGATTTGTGGGGTAAAAGATAGCAATACCGAACGAAAAATGTGCTAACTATTGAAAAAAACTACTTAATATACTCACAAGATGTTCTTTATTCAAAATAATTCCTCACTAAAACATTAATAGATTATAAGCAGCTATTATATTTTAAATCGTATTATATGTAATGACGAAGTATACTCAATGTGTCGCCACCTCGTTTCGTTCACAGGAAGTCGCAAAACACGCAGACAAATTAGGAAACAAAGCACAACACTCATCCTAGTGAAAATTTAATACTTACATCAGACTCGACAGACACCTTGACTTATTAGGCTAGGTATTAGAAAAAAAAAAATATACAATATATATACAATTGGGACTTAACGTGATGTTAAAAAAATATAAAAAATTAATATACATACCTAATTAAATAGATACTTCTTAGTATTTTTTTTTATTATAAAAATATCAATGTAATCGAAGCTATTTAGTAATTACAAACATTTAAGAATACATAATTTTATTCTTAAAATAACCGATATTCAATCGTACGTTGTAGTAGTAACCTACATACATACTTTAATGATTCAATCTTAATAAAACTGTATGACATCATTTTGGATGTAAAATACTCTTATGGATTAAAAATGTAATTAAAATTGGTTTAGAAATGGCTAAAATATTATCCCGAATTATTAGACTTACAAAAAACAATTGCATTAAAAAAATTAATCCGATGTATCTTTATCCTTGTAGACACGTATGCCTACCTAGGAACTCATTGATACAAACCGCATCTCATATCTTGACACGCTACCAGCATGTCATGTTTCAACACTACACAGACAACAAGCTCATCGTATCTTTTTGTTATTCGTAGCGAGATAAATAAATTAAATATTTATAATATAAATTTGGTTCGATGCGGCCGTGGGATCGTCTCCTTGGTCCGATTGCGTCAGGAGATATTTTTAGAGCATCGGGCCGTTACGGCGGCAGGACGACGACGCCGCTACAAAAAACTTATACCACCCTTGCGGTGGCGCCAAATTTTATGTCACGTAAAATATTATATTAGCTATACTCAGAACTTGCATAAAATCAGAGAATAGCCTTACATTCTTTGTAATTTAAATTATTTGTGAAATATTAGTTTAAATTAAATAATTATTTCCAGTTTCAACATTAGAAATAAGTATAACTATAAATTATATTCTGCATTTAATTTTATTATTCAATTCTGAAAATATAACTAAGCATATGCACAGTACAAACATATTGGTTACATTGTTAGCCTACAGGATGCGAGCTCACCGATGCGATCGGTTATGGCCACCGGCAACTGAACATTCACATCTGCCTACCTATGTGTATGTGGTAAATACGTTTCAAAGATGATGGACAAGATAAACAGAAGACGGTCAACGTGGCTTTGTTGTTGCCATCCCTCTCTAACACATGCAATTCTACGGATAACGGCAGGAGGCGGCGCTCTGGGAGGCGCAACGGAGCGGTGGAAATGGTTATTTTTTGTATCTTGTCAATGAAGGGACGGGTAGGGGCGGGTCGCGTCTCACGCGCAGGACTACGCAGTCAGTGGTTGCAGCTCGACTTTGTTTCTCACAACGTGCACATTATATAAAACCGCGGGAGTGTGTAAAGCAAAATATGAATTACGATAATTGTGAAATTAAATCTGTGCCGATTAAACGTGAAGAAGATCTCGAATATCCTGAGGACGAGGAGTACTACAGATATGCGCCGGTGGAGGTGGAAAGGCACACGGACGCACATTTCGCACCATCCTCGCCGCCACAACTCATCGATCTGAGCAACGGACCCGAAAGGACAATGCAAGTATTGCAACCGTGGCCTATGAATATGTCGTTCGATAACGAAGACCGTGACTACCAGCAGAATTCTTTCCAGCCGTACGAACAACAGTATCAAAGACAATTTTCTAGAAATTTTTACTTTGACGACTCTAACTCACAGGACGAGAAAATTTTTTACGACAACAACGAGGCACCAAAAATGATGGACACATATCACGCATCATCAAAAGAGCGAAGTATAGAAACCGAAGAACAAAGGAGGAAGAAGCGCACAAAGTCAGCGAGGAAAAAAACTCAGTCATTTGAAGAGATGCAAGTTCAGCGAATGATGGCTAACGTGAGGGAGAGGCAGCGGACGCAGAGTTTAAACGAGGCGTTTGCTAGTCTCAGACAAATAATTCCCTCTTTGCCGAGTGACAAACTATCAAAAATACAAACATTGCAGCTGGCAACTCAGTATATAGAATTTTTATATCAGATACTAGCCAATAGCGAAACGGCATCTAGCAGTGACAACAGCAGCGACGCCGACAGCGACCATGGCAAGTATCTAGCACAAGATAAATTAAGTTATGCCTTTTCGGTATGGAGAATGGAGGGCGAGTGGAATGGACAAACGTGATAGGTAATTAAGTATAAATAAATTCTTACCGAAAAAAAGTCTTATCTTATGACTTAATTATTTTCGAAGACGTGACAATTATAGTGTCTACACTTATTCTGTGAAGTGATAATTTATATATTAAAAATAGAGCAACATTGTGATAGTTAATAATTATTAAGGACTTATTAAGACTTCGAAACAAAATGATATGTAAATAATAAGTATTCTAGATTATCTAAGCTGATAAAGTTACCTAGGTAGTAGGTAATATATGTATTATTTTTACTAAATAATTAACAATTTTCTTTCATAATTAATAAAATACAACATAATATACAAAATAAATAATTAACAAGTGTCTTTTAGCGAAATAATAGTTATAATTTCATCTTCTGTGAAATAATAGGCAAAAAGCATGTTTCTGTAACACATACAACCTTAGAGATAAGACGAGGCTATAACAGTTAAAATTTGTGGTAATCTGTATTCCTAAAATTTTTCAATATATCACTATTTTCAAAACTGGCTACCTATTTTATTTGCCAAATATATCACAATGCCAATTTGTAGCTGTGAAAATGGAATATTAACCCCGCCTGCGTTGTCATTATTATTCTGGCGGAGCACCAGATAGGAAAGGATGAAGGCAGGTCAGTCGGCCCATCGTGAAGAATTCAATAAAAATTAACTACAATGGTTTCCAGGAGAAACCGCGTGGAGGTTGACCTGATAGGGTATACTGCTAGCAATGAGGCAATTAGAACCCATTACTTACAATTCCTTCCCTTCCCCCCTGTTGTTAAATGTTGGCAATGTATTATTTAGAAAAAATATATGATATTTTCTCTTATTCTAAAAAAAAAATATTTTCTATCATATTTACTGATCATGTCTCACGGGGCACCATGCTCGCTTGGCACGCCGTGGCCCCGGCGTGCCTCGCCAAGCGAGCACACGGTCGTTTTCTTGCATCCTTTTCTTGAAGCGACTTACGGCATATTTGGACCCCCCCCCAACATCATTGTAGATAAAGCAAGAAGTTTGAATTTAAGTGATCAAGAGAGCATATTATATAGCCAATATTGATACAAATTTTAAATTTTAGTTAACATTTAGCCAATAAAGGAAAAAAATAATGAAAAATCCCAAAATTTCATCATTCATTAATATAGAATAGCGTTTTTAATAAATAATGTTTATTAAAAATTATGTTCATTCATTTAAATAACGCATCATGCTTACTTACTTAGGGACTAGGGACTAGATATTATTACCCGGAAAAATTAGGCAATATTATATATATATATAAATATATATATATATATATATATATATATATATATATATATATATATATATATATATATATATATACAAATATAAAAAGCTGCAAGGTATATATATATATATATATATATATATATATATATATATATATATATATATATATACTAACCTTGCAGCTTTTTCAAAGCTACGTAACCTAATGGAAAATAGTAACTATAATCTATGCCGAGACATGAACAGTAGAATGAAAATGCCAGAATATACTGTGACATCCTTGACTCCGTTGATGCTTTACTATTATTAAGAACTATAGTGTTATGCATTTGTACCAAGTAATTTGGAAGTCCTTATATTCATATTAGTAAATAGTAATAGTGATCTACCATGAGAAAGTGATGTATCGATAATAATGAATCGCCAACATAATAATATGTATGTAATATAGTACAGTAGATTAATGAAATTTTTTATATTTAAGTTAGTATTCATAACTATATTGTGACCTTAACTTAGTATGTAAAAAATAAATTTATTTAAATGTTAATCTTATTAAAATTATCAATGCAGAGGTTTGTAACGATGGATGGATGGATGGATGAAAGGATGTTTGTAACTCTTTCACGCAAAAATCCCGGCATAGAATGGGCCACCCCTTCTTTTCCCGTGGGTGTCGTGAGAGGCGACTAAGGAGGACGAGGGATGGGCAGGAGTCTCCCTTTTTAAACATCCTCAAAGGCCTAACTGTGGTTGCCAACCCGTCTGCTAAGTGTGGTAACTACTGGCAAAATTCCCCTCAAGACTTATGTCCAGCAGTGGACAATTAACGGCTGGAATAATAATAAGTTATAACAAAATATCAATTTCGATAAGTACTTACTTAAAGTTTACTTCAAATTCCGCCATTAATTTAATAAATTTTTTACTAAGACAAAAATAACATACTAAATACGTACACAACTCTTGACAATCACTGATCATGGTGTTTTTGTATGAAGCATCTGAATACTTCACTTTGGAGATGTGGTTATACCTTTTCTATATTGGAAAATGGAAGGTGAGTGGAACGGACAAACGTGATAACGATTTTTTTTATGATAATAGGTGTGATAGGTATGAACATAATAACTGTTAGATAGATTCAATTTATTCCATTATTTTTATTATGTGCGAAGATGTGACAGTATCTTTACCTAAGAACGTTCCTGCTTTAGCTTAAATACCTGTATATATATATATATATATGTTCAATATCTATTGTATTAAAAAAATAACAAATTTCAATGATTTTGAGAAATTATTGAAAAGTACTAGCGGACAAAAACGTAATCGTGCAATAATATTCTTATCAAGCAGTCGCTGAAAATTTAGATTTCGATCCTTTATTCTAAAGCAAAATATGAAGTAGAAGTTTTAAGTAGCAAATTTGTATGCAACATATTCTATGGTTAACGTTTTAGTTCGCTAGCAAAGCACTTTCGAAATAAATTAGTCAAAGCAGTAAAAAACTTTTTAACATTGACAGATAATTGCGACTTGCTACACTTTAGCAAGCAAAAGTTATAACGCTCTTAATCTGTGAAGTAATAGTCAAATATTAAAAATTACGCAAACTTGTGATAGTTAATTGTTAAGGACTTTGTAAATATTAAGAGTAGGTGACAAAATGGCATGTAAATAGTATTCTAGGTTACCTATATTATTAAGTATAATCTGTTTTTCTTACTACAATAAATAGTATAGTCTTGGCGTGCTCGTTTATCGAAACAACAATGCGTGATATAAAGAAATGGGAAGAATAGAAAAAAATTGTTTTGATTGGGTATATTTATTTTTGGTCTGTCTTATTTCAAATAACATCGAAATAAAGACATGCACAAGCCAAATTATTAGGTAGGTTGGATCCGTTTTCTTTTTTTTTATTTACCATATTTACATAGGAAACAATATTAGCGTTTATCAAAACTACAGACGTACGATTAAAATAAACACACATAATTTTATTTATTTTCGACAGTACTGTTTTAGTATGAGCGATTACGAAATAGAGCCATGCCAAGATTATATACTAGATATAAGAACTAAGTTGTAGAAGGTTAGTGAATGAATATCCCTTAGTTGTAATATAATGCACAGCTGTATACCAAAACTGAATTGTATGTGCCATTTTAATAATGTTTATAATTATATTAAACTGTTTTTGTTTAAATTTAAATAAATAATATTATTATGAATACAATCTACCTATATTTTGTCTTTTTTTAAGTACCTACTAGAAATATAAATAACTAGTCTGGCCATAAATACTGTTACATAAAAACCTTTCTTTTTTTTCAACTTTTTAATTATTTTGAATTTAGAACACGTATTCCAGACAAATTATTTTTTGAAAAACTTTTTAGCGTTCCAAACGGAACAAACGTTAAAAAAAAAAAAAAAAAAAAATCACGTTTACTATTTTAAAAACTTTTTCGATTTCGCGCAATTTTACATATTTTTTAGTGTTCATTATCAAATTATAATATGGAATGGGGTGTTAAAGAAAATAGGATTACAGTGATCGTCTTGCACAAAGTGGGTATGGAGCCATCGGTCATATTCCAGACACTTCAAAAGCTTGGTATCAGCCGTATGTTTGTATATCGTACTATCAACAGATACAACAATTCCTCTGTTGAAGACCAGAAAATAACTACTACTGTTAGAACTACAAAGGCTGTTAATGCTGTTAAAGCCAGAATTTGTCAAAATCCCATTAGGAAGCAAAAAATCTAATCGCGAGAAATGAAGATTCCTGCTAGGACTCTGTTGCGTATTATAAAACAAGACCTGAAGCTCGGTGCTTATAATAAGCATAATGATAAAGTGTACGCTCACAGATCTAAAGAAGCTGCTCAAGTGGTCGGAAAGGCACAACATGGTCATCTTCCTGCGTCAGTGATGGTTTGGTGGAGCGTGTCAAGGAGTCACAAAACTATATTATTGTAAAAAATGAGTGAAAACTTCAGCCAAAGTGTATTAAGATACAGTCTTCGATCGTGTTATGAGCCCTTTCAGCAATACACTTTTTAAAAATATACCGTGGGCTTTCCAGCAGGACTCTGCACCTGATCACAAGGCACGAACTATCCAAGTCTGGCTTAAAACCAAAGTTCCAGATTTTATAACAGCTGAAGATTGGCCCTTATCTAGCCCAGACCTCAAACCTTTAGACTTCAGATTATGGTCAGTTTTAGAGGACATGGCCTGCTCTAAATGACACAGCGACATCGAATATCTTAAAAATCTTTAGAGCAATCAGTGGCGAAATTTCCCTTGGAAACAGTGCGTAAATCCATAGATTCGTAGCCAGACAGATTAAAAGCTTGTATAAAAGCCAACGGTGACCATTTCGAATAGAATATTTATTTTTGGCTGATACTAATAAATATGTAGGTATAAATTTTAGTAATTTTAAATCTTCGTAAAAAAGCAAATACCGATATGCAGGTAACTAATATCTGCAAATGCAAAAAACAAAGACCTGCCTTTATTATGAACTAAGCACGTCCCGCGGCTTTACTCACGGGAGTCAGTATATAAAGTAAAATATCTTAACTAAACATTTAGGATACTTTATAAAGTATCTTACATGTTTAGCTAAGATATAGCCTATCCGTGCACCAAATTTCTTTCAAATCCATTTTGTAGTTTATGCACGAAAGAGTCTTCCTCTCGAACTTTCGCATTTTTACCTAAGTTGAATTGAACTTGCTCCACTATAGATTGATACTCTTTATTGTTTCCTCCAAAAGATTACAATAGTAAACTTATTATAAATATAAATAATTACAAGAAATAATCACAATGAGAAAACAATGTGCGACCTTATCGCTAAGAGCGACTATAGTTTCGTTGAACACATCGTTTTCTCAAGATCCAACTAAACAAAAACACATGTTTACAAACTTTCGCATTTTTAATTGTAGTAGGGTTATTATCCTACTATAATTAGAAACGCGATATTACACAGGAACATTCATAGACGCCATTCAAGAAAAAAAAAAAAAAAAACAAATGTGTAAACAATTTTTATTTAGATTATTAAACTAAGTACAATTATACACGGTTGATTGCAGTACACTAGAACCTCGATTATCCAAACATCAATTATCCGAATATTCGATTATCCGAATTTATTCTTCACGGCTCTTACTAAAATGACGTATGTAAAACTCTTTTAATAATAAATAAATATTAAAATTTGATTATTGTTTGATTTGACTTTGAAATCGATTATCCAGATTTTCTTGTATACAGAATCCCCCTGATTATATCTGATTCAGATAATAGAGAATCTACTGTAAAACTTATTATTCGATTTACTCCTTTCTATAGCTTTGCAAAAGAACATAACAGAAATAAAGTTTTTTTTTTTTTTTAATTCACTGCTTTATTTCGTTATATAATATATACATATACAAATTAATTTAAACCTTGCCTTTCACATTAATACAAAATCACCCAATAAAAGAAGACATGATACCTTAAAGACTTAAGTTTTGTACCCATTATGCGGAGTCTTTACACTGAATAAATTACCTGGAATATAGCAATCTAGACCAATACAATATTTCCTTGTGTGTATAACAAATTTATTTGAATTTAATTAAAATGAATATTAACTTTTAATTCCTTAAAATCACAAAATTAATATAACAAAAGATTCAATAAATGAGAACAATATAGCTCTATCAATTTGCTATTTTTTTAATACAAACTACTGGTTTGAAGTCCGTTAAGTAGTGCGTGGCTTGGTTTCCGAGATAATTTATGAAACTGGATACATAGATTAAGAATTCATTGTTCCTACGCCTGGAGAGGACAAAAATCGAACCCATGTCCTTATTTTTGTATTGATATTCAAACCCTTACATTAAACATCTATGCCTGTAGCGAATACCATTGGCTTTTTCTCATAGCACCGGAACATAAGTCACAAATGGGCATGTCACGCGAAATAATTGGTAACAGAAACGTCTTTTTTATTTTGTATATTTCTACATGATAATGAAACTGTATCTAGAACATTCCTGTATATGGAATATCCTTTTTTAAATTGTTACTGTCTTAGATAATAAAATAGTTTTTCTAAATATGTGTTTATTTTTTTAATTATCCGACACGTTAACACATGACAAAAAGTCCAGAATGAAGTAACTCTTGATTTTAAACAGAGATTCCTAAAGTAAACAAATTGACAATTTGTTGCTAATAGGATATTACATGCAATGGACAACGCACCACTGTTTGTGACTGGAATTGTATTTATGTTAGACATTGCACTATATGGATATATTAACATTTATATAGAGACAATGTACGAGTTGCTGCTTCGTAACAAAAATGGCGCAGTGACTTTTAGTGCAGTTGAATCTAAATCAAAATCATACCATATAGAGATCAAATAAAAATATACAGACTAGCATTGGTAATGTAAAAGATAAAACCAGCAACATATATGTCAGGGCGAGATAAATAGATAAGATAGAAAAAAGATGAGATGTTGACGTATACAATATAAGCTCGAAAAGTATTTGGCAGGAGTATAAATAAAATAAATTCTGATTATTATTACGTTTTGAAGTGTAATTATGTAATTTAAAAATAATAAATGAATGTAGTTAGAGTCAAGTGTGCAGTAGCTGGATATAATACAAATAAAAAAAAATATGTACATTTTTTACGTAATTGCACTTTAAACATTTTGCTTTCATAATGCAATATTTTAGAACCGTAATAAATGTTTTCTATAAGAATTGGTAGAAAAAAATCTAAATTAATCCGGACAAAATTCTGAACATTCGCGAAGTTAAATAAAAATTTTTTGCCATTTTTGCAACTTTGAATTCCTTACAAATTCAGGACTTTCATATGCACACATTTACGTAATACGTGGACTAGTGCACATAGTATTTTATCTTGTCTTTGTAATTACATTACCAATCAGTCAATACGTAATATGGCTTGAGTACGCTATAATACGTCTAAGATTAAATAGTAAAGTAACTTTCAATTGACGTCTCTTGGACGTGAGTTTGATTTCAATTCGATTGCGTGATCGCGTGCCTGCCTGTACAAACGATACAGGCCCAGCCCATAAAACTCTATTTTATAAATATTGCAAAATATACCCGATTCACGCTGTGCATTTACGTACTTATGTACTAACATTATAAACAAAAAAATATTATAACTTAGTTCACATATGGTATAAAAAGGACGTTGTTATAAAAAGCGATTAAAAATAAGAGTCTTCAATAACAAACTTTGAAACGACGTAATTAGTTAACATTTATTAAATTTCAATAGTGCATTTAAAAATGCAGTATATTGAATTATTTTATATAATTAAATACATAAAATAAATATAAATTATACATACCTAAAAATATCACCAAAAGGCAACTTTAGAATGACTTTAGAACATTTATAACGGGAATAAGATCACACATTGCTATGTAATTCTTCACTATCAAAAACTTTTCAATTCGATATAATAACATGCGCTTTTCGTTAATTTTGGCAACATAAGTAATATAAGCATTGCCTGCGGTGCTACGAAACAAATTAGGCTAAAGTTGCTTAAACTTGTGTATTTAGTGTGCATTATTATTTGTCGGGTCTTAAAACAAATTAGGGTAAACTGAGGTGTAATAGGCCACTTGCAGTAACTGGCCATTAAGCCCTTTATAGACGATTATATTATTACATAGCACACCATCTATTGTCATCACTAGACTTATAAAATTTCATTTTAATAAGTACTTTTTTAATCCACAATTGAAACTAACGCCAAAACTTTCGTTTACTTTTTGACACTCGATGATCCTATCTCAATAAGGTTACCTGCTAAATAAATGTTAACGGAATATGCCTTGAAGAAAAATTATAATTCTGGATGTAATGTAATGTATCCATAATGATTGTGTTATTCGATTAGCAGAAAGGGTAAGTACCATTTATTTATTATAAAATTTTTGTGGAAATTGTAATATACTAAGTTTGTAGAGGTGAAGTAATAATTTGCAACCGACTTCTTCGAAATAGACAGTAGATCCATAGAAAAAAAATACTTTTATATCAAATATGCCAATTTCTGATTACCTGAAATTAAAGAATTTACCAGAACCAGAAAAGGGAAGCGTCAATCTGACAAAACTGCATTTGCACTAATGTCTAACAGTTATTTAGAAATTGTATAAACCAACCAGCTTAAAAACAAAAAGGTGAATCATGAGCAAGAGAAAATTATAAAATGCAGTCAATGCAATCAAAAATTCCGCTTTAATTGCATTCTATCGAAGCATAGAGTCCACGTCTCCGAAGACGATGAATCTCCTTCTTATGTCATATTTGTTACAAGATAGTAACAGATTCATCTGGTGATAATTAAATTTTGTTAATAACAGCAATAAAGTACACTTTGGTTATGTTTTGAGATGATAAAACATTGTAGTTGTTTTAGTTTTTTTTTTTTTTTTTAAGATTTTATAACATGTTTATTTCAGATTTTATTAATAAATTAATGATATTTTTTTATGTGACCAGCACTAGATATATACTTGCCAATTTCTAAATTTAGTGACTAATTAACGGTGAAAAGTGACTATTTATCTTATTGATAATATGATAATGAATAAAAATATGTAAATTTGTTTTATTTTTCTAAAATATTAAAAAAATAAAAAAAAATAGGTTATTCTTTATTTCTAAGTTTAAATACATAACTTTGACGATACATTGCTCAAAAAATGTTAATGAACTGCCAAAACGGTTGAAGTGGTCAGTTACTGATGAGTTTACCCTATTCAATCTAATATTGTAACATTTTCAGCAGGCTGTATTTTAAAGAAAACCGTACTATATTATAGATATTCATTACATATTTTTCTTCAGTTTTCAAATAAGAAGTATTACTTTCATTCATTACTATACAGTTTCAGTGATAGGTTTCTAATGATAAAAAAATGTCCTCACGAAAACAATACATAAATGATCACGTGAAGTTTTGCTTATTGCCTTTTTTGTTTAGCGTTACTCTTAAAATATGTTCATCCTTGACATGTCCCGGTTGCCTTATTATATTGCTACTTATAAGGTGACTAGGAATCTGGTCATTAATAATCGAATGTTATCATCTTATTACATGACTAATATAACGCTTTAGTTCACTACAAGGCACTTTCCAGGTTGTCGTCTTACATTCATTTTGAGGACTCGTTCCAGAAAGTTATAGCAAATATCGTGTATCTATTTCGAATGCTCTATGAAAGTTGAAAGGAAATAATTTTAACACCATAAAGAAAGATCGATTTGACTACTAAAAAACAATATGAGTTCGTCCCCTCCGTTCTATTTCCTGTGATGACGTCATGAGTCGCACAAATGAGCGCTGAAACTAAGGTGTTGCGCCAGTTTTATCTAAAAATAATATCTAATAATATTGTTATTAGATAAAACAATATTTAAATCGATAAAATTGCATGAAATTTGACAGGTAATGCAAACGTTGCCAAGCGCACGGGAAGCGAATCGCGTAATAATAATATTAGGCACAGTTATTTCCAATATAGTTCAAATAATTATTTTATTCGCATTTCTGCGTAACTGCTTGTACCATTGATATAAAATTTGGCACTGTTGCAGAAGCAATTTGCAGCCATGTATTCTTAGAATAAATAAGTTCTTTTTTTAATAATTCATTCTCAGAATCAATAAAAGTATCTATAGAAAAGACAAGAAAGTACCAATATAAATAAAGTACATTGACTAAAAAACTCATGTTCTCGTTGAAAATTACATTTAAAACTTATTTATTAATAAAAACAAAATAATTTCTGCAAGACAAGGCACAAGACATGAGCAGGTTGAAATATGTTGGATTTGGATTTTATTTGAAAAACGTATTATAACATTCCGTTATAGATATTCTAAACTTGAATATGATCGCGACTAGGAACATTTTATTCCAAATAAACACTATTAAAACCAATTACCTAATCAATAGGTAATTGCATTGGCAAAATCCTTAATAAAAAAATGTTAGATTGCACACTATTTACAGCCATAACAATATTATATTACAAAACACTTTTTGTGATGATTATCTTTCACTTCACTATTTACAATATACAATTTTATTTGATTCAGGGCACTATCAGTTCATTTGTATTCATTCCGAGCACCGTTATCTGAAATATAAATTTTTTTTTATATATAAGAATATATAAAAAAAATTACATAAGAACTTACAAAGCTACTTCGATAAAAGACAATTTGTTATTTCTGAATTCATTCCGAGGACCATTACCTGAAATGAAGAAAAAAAAAACAGCATTATCTGTTGTTTTTTTTCTTCATAATTATAACCTATTATTTATACTTTTCACAATTAGAAAACAATTTTTCCATGTCTTTTATCGAAATAACAGTGAAAAAAAAAAAAAAATTAAAAAAAAATAGATAAAAGGGTTTTGTAATTCCAGACAATTTATCATACTAAAGACTTCCGCGGTTTGTTCGCGTAAGTGAATATATAATGTATCCCATACGTTAAATTAGGATGTAATCTATTAGCATACCAAATTTCAATCAAATACCTTTACAAACTTTCATATTTATAATATTAGTGATATTATTATTTTTTTAAATTCAAATTCGATAAACAGATGCAGCAAAATCGTTTAATATAACTTACCTCCTGAGATAAATCTTTGTTGAGTGTTGGCATAGAAGTCGTATCGCTCTCGGTGTTTTCTGTTACTACCCAGTCCTCGCTAAGAGGTGCCTATAACAACGATCATTTATTAAACTGGAAAACGGAATAGTTATATGAGTAAAAGCTCAATCATAAATATTTATATTTGTCATTGAGTTTCTAAAATAAAATCGAATCGTCAATATAAAAAGGAGTCCTCAGGAATGGCAACGCATGGGGGTATCATGGGCGAAACAGTATACTCTGTTATGTCCATGGTACTGCTCATGTCTATAGGTGACGGTTACCATTTTACATCAGGTGGGCCGTCAGCTTGTTCGCCATTCCATGTTGTATAAAATAAAAAAAAGGTATTATGTATTATAGTGAATCATAATTATTTTTGTTAATTTTAATTATTATAACGAGAATCGAGCGTCACCCAGCTCCAGCCTTTTTTAAAGCATTAAGAACAGCCCGTAGTGCAAAACAAGCACTGCTACGTAAACTGACGCTGAAAAATGTCCGGACGAAAATGACACTCTTGCCGGAAACGACCAACAAAAGAAGTTTATTAAATTCCCATAATCAATTGGATTATACTATTATTATTGGCGTGGTATTTGTTATTCCTGTTTAGTATACATCGATGTACTATACTATTTATTATGTCTGAGAATACTGGTCCAAAATTACAAAACGTACAAAACGTATCGTTCTCACATTTTGCCTTAGGTCAAAATGATTTTAGTATGTCATGTATTAAACTGTATAAGTTACTATAGTTTTTAAACTATCGCACGGAGAGTAAGGTACAACAATTTCGGAGCTTAGCCCGCACAAACAGACAGACAGAGACACAAAAAAATTGTAAAAAAAATCTTGATGTGTTGTATTTCTAACATCCCCCTGACTTGGTTTTTAGTGTCTTTTTTCTATGTAGACATTCGATCTCTACAGTTTCATTATATGTATAGATTAGCGGCCCAACCCGACGTCGCACGGGTGGACATTTTTACATTTTAAAAAGTGGCCATTAAGGCTGCACACGCGACGGAAGCTTAAAAATGGAGTAACTTCTCCCGTTTTCCCAACATTTCCCTTCACTGCTCTGCTCCTATTGATTGTAGCGTGATTAAAAGTATACTATAACCTGCCCAGGAGTATGAAGAATAATTGTACCAAGTTTCGTTAAAATCCGTCGAGTAGCTTTTGTTTCTATAACGAACATACAGACAAACAGACAAAAATTTTACCGATTGCATTTTTGGCATCAGTATCGATCACTAATCACCCGCTGATAGTTATTTTGGAAATATATTTCATGTACAGAATTGACCTCTCTACAGATTTATTATAAGTATAGATAACAGCCGATAATCGTCCACTGCTGAATATAACCCTACAATAAGGGGAGGCCTCCCTATTGAGGTGTTTTGCCAGTAGTTTTTCCATGCTTGGCAGATGGGTTGGCAACCGCAGTCAGACCCTGGTGATACATACTATAATGGCTAATAAATATATTGAACCAACGTTTTTTTATTTTTATATTTATTATAATTTATTTGAGACACACAAAGAAGTCCAATAACTTTAAAAAACAATGCTAGAGAATTAACTGTGTAACAGGTCGTCAAAGAAGGCGAACAACGCCTAGTAATAACAACTACGGTGGACGTTTATCAGCAGGCAGATATTACTTGCTTTATTAAAAATAGTGGTAGGTGACTTACAGAATTGTCGGCGTCTTCGAGCTCTTGATGATGGACCTGCTTGACGTGGTCTTTGAGTGCGAAGGAACGCGCGTAGCTGGCGCCGCACAGGCGACACGAAAACTTCAGGTTGTTCTGACGCAGGTGCGTCTCCGTGTGTACGCGCACTGCGTACAGGGACGCAAACGGCCTGACAACAAGTGTTTTTACATCGACTGTTAAAGGACGGTAAGCTTTAGCTGGAAAGGGGGTTATTAATCGTGTGGATTAGAAGCCCAGTTATGAGCTATATTCTCTACCGGGTTGACGTGCAAACGGCCGGTAAATACCGGCCTTAAGGGCGTCAAGGCCCACAGCAGTCGGTAAGTTCTAACCGAGAGGCATTATACATAGATCAGTGACCACAGTAGTGAACAGTGCTTATCTTAATAGCCGTTTTTCCAATATTAAAAACGTGTAAAAGTGCGGTAACTTGGTCGTCAGGAGAGCACTATCTGTAAATTTGCCAAAAACGCTATTAGTATGTTGATCAGGGGCGATATTAGTAAGTTGATCAGGGGCGTAATTAGTAAGTTGATCAGAGGCACTATCAGTAAGTTGGCCAGGGGCGCTATCAGTAAATTGGTAAGGGGCGCTATCAGTAAATTAGCAAGAAGCGTTATCAGTAAGTTGGTCAGAGGTGCCATCAATAAGTTGGCCAGGGACGCCAGGTAAGGTAAGACCGATTTTACGGCCTCCCTTCAAAACCATAGTGATAAATACTGTGATCCTGGTGAATTAGCCAAAACTAGACAACTAAACTGACTTCATCCTTGCGATGGAGAGTGAATTGTTACTAATAGGGATTTTAGTATCCTTAGCTAGAAATTATAGCAGCCCCGACACTAACAATATACCCCCTCAGTTCGACCTTCATTCGGTCCGGCCTGAAAACCGTCTTGTTTAATTCTTAACAAATTCGTCGCGATGGGCAAACTTACCAACTTTTCCTCACCTATCATCCTTAACTGGTGCTTCACCAGCGTAAACGAATAGTGTAGGCGGGGTAACCATTCCATTTTCACTCATAAAATACTTGTCTCACCTATCACCTATCATTTCTCACTGCTGCTCTGCCAGCGTATACCAATAGCACAGATGGGGTTATTATTCAATTTTTAAACATTAATGAAATACTTATATTTAATTACTTTTAATCAAATTTAGAAAATCAGTCAAATTTTGAACATTCTAATATTTGAAGTCAATTGATAAATTATTATTTCTTTCTGCTGCTATACCTGTTACAATGCTGGCAAGAGAACGGTTTTGTGTGAGAGTTCTTGTGTCCGGCCAGTTGTACGGATGTCTTGAACGCTTTCGGACAGTACGGACATTTGTACGCGCGCACCTCCGAGTGGGTCAGCAAGTGGTGATTGTACACGCTGTGCGCTTTAAACCTAATACGCAATAAAAAATATTATAAATTATATGTTTCTAATTGTTTGTGTACAATAATGTATAAAGTATTATATTTTTATAAAATGACACAAGTTAACGGCCCACCTGATGGAAAGTGGTAATCGTTGCCTAAAATCTAAACAGCATAATACAGCACACGGTCATGACCATGGTACCCCTCATTTGCTATCGCTTCCCAGGACTAACTTGTTATGCCTCCATGTCTGTAACGGATTTACCAGCAGTGCTAGTAGGCTACAGCCTAAGATGGCAAATATAGGGCCATATTTTATTTATAATTAAAAATAAAGTTATCCTTAACTTAATTTTCCTACAGCGATAATGACTCATACCGAATTATCGCAATGACTCATTGTAAGTAAATACCACTCATCTTCCTCACCTATTAAAAGAGTATACTATATATATAAAATATATAGCATAATAAATACGTTAGAACACTTGATACGACACGACGAACTTATGAACATTATAATAGAAGGTAAGATAGAAGGAAGAAGGGGGAGAGGGAGACCGAGACATAGTTATATCAGGCAGATCAAGGAAGGAGTTGGTGTCGTGTCGTATCAAGAGGTGAAGAGACTCGCTGAACATCGTAGTGAGTGGCAAGAGCTCCACCGACAAGAGTGCAGCTCTTAAATGGATAGATAGAATAAATACGTTGGCATCATATTCGAAAATTAGTCACTCGCAGTTTCGGCGTGAAAGGTAACAAAGGTAAGGTAACTCTAAGCAGCGATTTAGCAAAAGATGCTTCGTTTAGGGGTGAAACACGTGTCGCAAAATGTGCGTGGACGAAATGGCAGTCAAAGATTGATGGTTAATTTGGAAGGTTGTAGAACTTCTGATAATAATAACAATAGTCAATCTTCGAGTGTTGGTAGTCACACATATTAATTATAGCAGAATTAAAAAAAAATCTAATCAAATAACAAGTACGATGCAGAGATCAAAAAGCTAGTAATGTATATACTTACCGCTTGCCGCAATGCACACAGGCGTATGGCCGCGCGCCTGTATGTGTACGCATGTGTAGCGTAAGGCAATACGACACCCGGAATGACTTCCCACATATTTCACACGAATGCGGTTTTTCACCTACACATCAACAATCGAAAAATATTAATTTTAGTGTATTTAAGATAAAATAAGAATTCACTACTATATAGCCAGCACTGCCATTACATTTACGAAACTGAAAATTGAATCTATGCAACCATCCAGAAGTATTAACACAAATATGTTCAGTGTCGTGAAATTCTATAAAATATGCCTCTGTACATGTCAATATTTATCATAAAAGATCTCACAACTTTATACTGTAGATTTATCAAATTGATCAACTGATTGCATAGATTTCATATAATATTTTCTTTTTGTTCAAAGCGACCCAGGCCGGGTATATGAAACATTTACAATGTTCATATTACAATATAAAATATTATTCCTGTACACATGCAGTGTCGGACAATAGACAATACACTGACATTTAAAGCAAAACGTACATAAATACGAATCGACTAAGTCGTGTGGAACTTACCTAAAATACTAATAAATATAAATAAACCTAATATGGGTACTCTTTTAAAAGTGTCTCAATAAAATAATTGCGCTTACAACGTTAATTCCAGGTAACGTAGTCAATTCACCGAAAAAATAACGCTTATCATCATTTTCTTGTCCTTATGACAATTATTTGGTTTTTTTTTTTTTTTTATACTACTTAGAATGGCAAACAAGCTGACGGCCCACCTGATGGAAAGTAGTAACCGTCGCCTATAGACATGAGCAGTACCATGGACATAATAGAGTATACTGTTTCGCCCATGATACCCCCCATGCGTTGCCATTCCTGAGGACTCAGGTGTTATTCCTCTGTACCCAGTAAATTCACGCCATATCCCATCCTTCAAACCGAAACACAGTTATGCAAACACAACTGCTTCACGGTTGAAACACGAATGGGACAGAGGTACCCAAGCAATCGACTTTTGTACAAAGTCTCCCTCTGGTGTTGATTTGGTGATTTTGGTTTAAATTATTTGGTGTCGGTATAATATGATTTCGACCCTTCTTGGAAATCTATTCCTCCCTCACTCTTTCAAATAAAAAAAATCCTATATTCTTTAAGAGTTTATGAAAATTTATCGACCTGATACCGTATTCTAGTGCTTGGGCAACCTGTAAAATTGGCCCTCGATCGTAAAGCGAAAGCCATTTTACATAAAATTACTTTATCATTAAACAATAAATTTTTTCTTTACCGGTGTGTATCCTCTCATGTTTGACCTTTTCATGTGGCCTCGCGAACCTTCTTGTACAGTACAGACAGCTATATGGAAGTGATTGGTCAGTTTTATTAACTGGTACCTGAAATATTGTAATTCAAGTAATTAATATTTTACGTAATTTGAAAATACAAAACATGTAAGGTGACATGGTGGTAGGTTTCTAAACTATATAACTTTATACTAGAGGGAGAATTTGTAAATAATTTTTTGCTTAGGTTCATTTGTGTTTCTGCCATGATGCAGTTGGGTTTGCATAATTGTGTTTCGATTTTAAAGGTGAGAATTGGTTGTGAAATTATAAAATACAAAGGCATAACAACATAGTCCTCAGGATTGGTAACAGATGAGGGACACAGTAGTCTGTTATGTTTTTTTTTTTTTTTTTTTTTTTTTATGCAACTTAGAATGACAAACAAGCTGACGGCCCACCTGATGGAAAGTGGTAACCGTCGCCTATAGACATGAGCAGTACCATGGACATAGCGGACTATACTGTTTCACCCATGATACCCCCCATGCGTTGCCATTCCTGAGGACTCAGGTGTTATTCCTCTGTATCCTGTAAATTCACGCCATATCCCACCCTTCAAACCGAAACACAGCCGTGCAAACACAACTGCTTCACGGTTGAAACACGAATGGGACAGAGGTACCCAAGCAATCGACTTTTGTACAAAGTCTCCCTCTGGTATAAAAATACCATATGTCCATAGTACTGTTATTATCTATAGGCAACAGTTACCACTATCATCGGTGGACCGTCAACTTGTTTACCTTTCTATTTGATACATAAAAAAAACTAGTTATTTTTTAATTAATTCGTTTATGACAACATTTTGTTCTAATATTATAAAGGAAATTTATATATATATATATATATATATATATATATATACGACATGAAGATCTTGAGACACAACACAGTACTCTGTACTATTTAGAATAAAATATGCATGTCAGCTTGACAGTGAAATTACTAGATAATATACACACTTTAATTTAAATAAATTTACCCTGTAATCCCGGCATAGAATACGCCAACCTTCATTTTCCATAAGTGTCATAAGAGGCGACTAAAGGAAAGTAAGCAAAGGTGGTAAGAGGATGCTGTTGCAGCATCCCTCTTAAAACGTTTCCTACAGCCTAACTGCGGTTACCAACTCGTCTGCCAAGCGTGGCAGCTACTGGCAAAATTCCCCAAGGGAATGCTTATGTTCAGCAATGGACGATTAAAGGTTGATATGATGATGATGATAATGATAATGAATTTCAATAAAATATTACCTTATCTAAACTATGTACACTCATATGCATTTCTAGATATTCGTTCGAATGGAATTTCTTATTGCATATACTACAATTCATTTTGTTATTGTGTTTATGGGAGTTTTGGTGTATAGTTTTATAATCCACCGGTATCATCTTGTCACATATTGTGCATAGATATCGCTCACTGTCTGCCTCCTCGCCATCGGCTGACTTCACTGGCGGATCTATAGGTCGTGATCTAAAATATAATACAAGGTTTTTTAAATTAGAATTACCTCGGGCAGTGCGGATGCATTTTAATCCAATAAAAAAAAATACTGATTATACCATTAGGGATAGTTGTAAATATACTTTTTCAAGTGACACTTTCGAATGTTTTTGTAATTAAAACTAATTATAGCATAAATAGCTCTATTTAACCATACTAGGTCAAGAATAGCATAACATAATAGGAAAGAAATATATATGTAATTATCTATGCCTATACTAAGATTAGAAAGAAAAATTAGATTTCTTGTATGTTTGTTTGTTTATAATAAATAAATTCAAAAACTATTTCACCGATTTTAACAATTATTATATTATGGAAAGCTACATTATCAGCGAGTCACACTGACTAAATATTATTTTGAAAAAAATTAAGAACCCCACGTAAATCAAATAATAATAAAAAATATCAAAAAAATTTAAACGCAAAGGTCGATAGTATTTTGTTAAAATACTATGTACCCGTGAGAAACGGAGGTACATCGCAAGGAATAAGTTAAGACTTTTATCCACTTACTTGATTGGATCATGCATTCGTTTATGAAGTTTTAACGACTTATTTGTTAAGAATACAGTACAACAAATTTCACACTCATAAGTAGCAGGTGAACTTTTGATTTCTGAAAAAAAAAACTATTACAGTATTGTACGATAAAACTAACTATAGTAACTTTAGTTCGTGGGATATAAATTGACTACCTAGAATTATATGTAAACGACATCGTCACGTCATTTGTATCTTGAACATAAATACATAAAATTAATAATAACAATGATGCTTTTGTAACATCATAGTAGATAGGAAAAATATAACATTCTTGATGCAATTTTCGATTTACTTGTCTTGAGTTTAGATTACCCTCAGACTTGAGCGCTCGTAGTATAGTTTTGAATAATACAGGTCATTAAAGCTTGAGAACAGATGGGTGACTGTTTGTTACATTTGATATAGAATATCACTTCACATAAATTCTCTGCTCTCACTCAATAGTTTCTGTATTCAATACAGCTTACTTCAACTGCAAAAAGTACTTATAAATCTGATAGAAGTTCTTACCTGACTTTGATTTATGAGCTTTCATATGTGCACTAAGTGATTTAGAGTTGTCATATGCCACTGGACATTGAGGGCAGGAATACTTCACTGAAAAATGATAGTAATAAAACCAATTATTTTGCTGTAGTTTTTAAATTACCATCATGTAAATAGGGGTCCGAGCGAGGGGAGACGGATACTAATTCATTCCATACATTCTGACTTTAAAACACACAATTTCATTGCTCAATGTATAAAAGTCAATATTATTTTTAAAAGGTTTCATAGTTCAAAGTTTTTTTTTCTCAAATTTGAGTCTTTGTAGAGTCAAAAAGTCTTAACCTGACAAATACTTTAATAAATTTTTAAACTTGGTGATAACATTTTTAATTTTTGAAAAGTGAGTAATTTAAAACAAATAAGTGACTCTCAAATTACAACGACAATTACAGATAGACAAGAAGACATATCGTTCAACATTTAAAGAGATTACATTTCACTTACATGTTTTACAAACATATGACTTAAATTCTTCTAAGTTTGCAACATAAACATTACATGACATACAGTGATACATTTTAATATTTTTTCCATCGGTTGTTTTGCAATTTTTCATCGTCACTTTGTGATAGGGACCACCCTTTTCTGTAAAAAAAAAATACAATAACATATTAATATTTAATTTCTTTAAATTTTTTAATATCTATGTCTCCGGCCAGCAATAACTTGGCTTCCTTCAAGAGAGATGTGAAAAAGCAGTTATATAAGCCAGAATAGTGTGGACTGCAGGTTAGATATAAACTTACGTCGATTCTGCGATCCACAAATATAGATTTCATAATCACTCACCATCAAGTGGCTATATAATCAATGTGTTGTGCCATTATAAAAAAAAAAAAAAATATTAAAGCATTAATTCTCTTGTAATAGATTTTTTTTTAATGGATGATAATGGAATGGTAACCCCGCCTGCGCTATCGGTATACACCGGCGGGGCACCAGTGAAGGATGAAGAAAGTCAGTTAGCCCATCGTGACGAATTCAACAAGAATTGTTCACGATGGTTTCCAGGGGTAACTACGTGGAGGTCGACCTAATAAGGCATATTGCTAGCAATGGGGCTGTCAAACTCCATTGCTAACAATCCCTTTCCCCCTTGTGATAGATTATACAATTGTACATGACGCCATTGTGGTATATGAGTACATGGTATTACACATATACCACCATGTACATTACTCCTTTTTATCCCCAAGAGTTTTTATATATTTCTTTGTTAACTCTCGTTATTATCCCCAGGATGTAATAAGAACTTACTAAGGCAAGAATGGACATCAGTATAAGAAAAAGAAAACTCGAAACAAATCCCTGTAGCCACAGCAGATAGTATGGTAATATTAACTATATACATTTCTTTTATAGACAAAAACCCCAACAGTGGGACAATAATAGATTGTTAAAGTAATATGACGCCTGCAAAATTGATAATATTTTTATGATACTGAAACAGATGTATGAATCCAGAGCTTATATTAATATAAAATCCGTAGGGCTTTTATTGTTTAATATTATTCAATACAACATATATATACATATACAGTAAAACAAATCGTAAACAGGGTAAAATTGACATCATTAGCATTCCTGTATGCCTATTATCCTCGGATTCACCCTATATATTTGGCAACTTACCATCATTTGGGTTTATATCTTTCACAATACTATCACAGAATTTATCTATTTGCACATATCGCTTTGCGAGAGGTCGCCCTCGTTTTTCGCTATTGTTTTCTTTTGCGGAATCACTTGGAGCTGTAATTATACCATATTAAAGTGTAATTAATTATATAAGCGCAATCATGAGTATCATAAACATAGACTTATAATCTAATTCAATAAATTAAAAAAAAAATCTTATAATAAGAAATATTAGATCAAGTCAAAACGTTTAATAAATTAATCGATTTTTTATTTATACTAATAGTGTCGTATGTTTAGATTTGTCATTTGTTTAGATTTTCATAATATTCTTATACTATTTATTCTATTGAAATAGGCAATACCTATCTTTAAAGTGCACTAGACTGAATACAAACGAATCTATTAATATAATAGTTATCGCTAGCGACTCCATGAGATAGAAGAAAATGTTACGTGCGCTGACTAGTTCTTTCCCGTGTGAGCGCTTACCAAAACGATCATATTGATAAATTCGTTTGTCTAGAGACCTTATCTAGAGGGCAGGTTTTAAGGACAGTACCGACCTAAGCAGTACTAGTATAAATTCCCAATAAATTATTTTAAAGTCGCCGAGCAACTAGCTTAACCCATTTACAATTTCTAAAATGTTTACAAACAAATTATAAAACTATTTACAAGCTGATATATAGAAAAGACCTGGTGTAAACGGAAACCGTCAGCTAATGACATGAACAACACCATGGATGTTACAGAACAAATGTGAGACCCTTTCAATTTCTAAAGATCTCCATTATTATACCTCCATATCATTGTATACTGCTATGTATTCCGCATGTATTCAGTAACTTCTCTAAAAGGCAGCTCTACAAGAGTAATTGGTGGGCAGTACAAACACGAGTGAGATAGAGATATCCATGCAATAGTTCAAAAAATATATCAATATATTCTATTTTTTGATAATAACTAATGTGAGTTATACAGTGCTGTAATTATTAATCAGCTTTATTCATATTTTAATTCAGGGATGTCTGACTAGTTTCGCACTCATTGGAAACCCTTATTCTTTATAAATTATATATTTTTAAATTCATACTTACAATCAGATAACAACAAAGCTGTGGTTTTAACTAATACTGGAGCTTCCACTATATCACCAGTATCAGTGATCATTCGTCTTGAAGCTATAGGTTCACTTCGTGGAGTATTATCATTAAGAGGGTCCAACTCTAGAGACATTCCATTTGGTTCATTATCAGCTTCTTCTAAAGGTTCCTATAGAAAGTAATGGCTATTAACATTTTTCCTTCATATATAATGGAATTAATAAACTTTTTTAAATATAATAACATTGTCTTGTTTTCAATCTAGCAATTTTTTTATAAAAAAAATCAAAGAAATGGGCATGTAGGGTCTCTACCCAGAACACCCAGGATTAGAAATGATCCAGTGTAGTAAACTTCGTCTGTTCATTTTAAATTGATCTGACTAATAATTGATACTATATGCCTTACACATTGGATTTTTGTGTATAATCCTGAAATTATGAAATAATAATGATGAAATTCTAAATATTTCAAGATCATTAAAAACAAATCAAGAGCTTGATATGATCTAGGCCAACTATTCATCAGGCATGTTCCACAAAATAAAAAAAAGAATATAATGTTTTACTCTTAAAATACTTCTAATAAAAGGACTTATTTGTCTTTGATTTGTAATCACTTGATATGGGGTTACATAAAACAAAAGGGATTTGGTGGGAGTTTCATTATCTTAAAAATTTAGGAAGCTCCACTAAACAAGACTTTACCTCAACAACTACTTCCTCATCAGTGTGGTAGTTCTGTATGTGTTCTATAACAGAAGAAAATGATACACCACATGTATTGCAACTGTATATTTCCTGACCTGTTCCCTCTACTTCAGTTTCTGCTGCAGCAACTGTTGGCCCAGTATCTATTTTTAAATCTGAAACTGGAATACAAGGAAAAAATAGAGGAAAAACAATAACAGTAAGTACAAGTAATGACTCTCAATTTTTTTTTAAATACAAATGCACAAACCCTAGGTCAGGACAAAAGCAAGATTGTAATGACCTTCCTTTACAATTTCGGTTTGATCTTCAATATTATAATGAAAATATATATTGAGAACAGAGGTTGTTGGTACTTGGTTCTCTCTGCTTATTTATCAAAAGATTCTTTGATATTATAGATTGTTGATAGTAGCAAATAAATCCATTGGTAAATATGTTTTCATTAATATGCTCATAAGAGAGAAGAAGATGCATGTAACAGCATAATTTATTCTCATGCAAGCGCTAATGATATATCAACAGATTTGTTTGAGATTTTTTTTAGAAGTTATAAATTACATAGGATTCTGGGAAGTCCACTTGACACTTGTCTAGGGCTCTTTTGAAACCTATTATCTTACTAATATTATAAAAATGAAAGCTTGTAGAGATGTTTGTGTATTGAAATGATCAAACAGCTGAATGGATTTGATTGAAATTTAGCCTACATGGGTAGGTTATATACTAATTAAGTTAGGATATAATCTATACAAGATATTTTATATATTAATGCATATAAATAAAAGCCACAGGAAACAGCTAATAAAATATAGACTTTAGTTACCTTTAACTGTAGTCAAAGATATGGTACCATCATTATTCTGCTTAGTGACCACAGCACTTTCTAAGTTTAGTTCAGAATCACCTTGCTCCATAATCACATATCGGCTTTCTCCATCCTCCATAACAAATTTTAGCTCCTGAGTCTGAAGACATGGTTTAGTCAGCTGCTTGCTCAATAATTCTACATACATTTTATTGTCATTTTCTTGTGGGACTTCGGTTACTGTTTCAACAGCGAGTTGTCCAAGTTCTTCATGTTTAATTAAAATTTCTAGAAAACAATTTTTCAATGAATAAAGGTCAGACATAAAAAATGGCACATGTATTAACAAAATATTCATTGAATTATTTCCATATAATATCATAATTTAATTATTTTTTCCTGCCATACTTAATTATAATATAAAATATTATGTTTGCCACAATAGTAACAGTCAAATGCTTCTATCTCATTTTTGTAGGAATTTTACTTATAACCATATATTTTAATAGTTACTTCTAAAAAAATGTTAGAATGCTTTAACATTCCATCCTTTGGTTAAATAGGTACAACAATGATAAAGAGGATTATTTGTTCAAAACAAAAACATTATATGCTAATTAGACACAGTTGTTATTCAAATAATTATCATGAATACAGTATAGTCAACACCATTTATAATTCTTTTTTAACTATTCATAATAAAGATCACAAACTACCTAAATTATATGTATAATACCATATAGCTACTTATGCATTTACTACACATGTCGAGTTAGTATTGTCAATGAGTATGGAACATTTAAAATACACTGAGAACATCAATAATAGAATTTGATTGTGATGTATCTGGAAATTATATGATATCCTCACATCTAAAATAGCAAATATTAAAAATATATCGATATAAGTAATAATATGAAGTCAATATCATTATCATCATCACATAAGCTTTTAACTGTCCACTGCTGAACATAAGCCTCCCCCTTGGGGGGTTTTGCCAGTAGTTGCCATGCTTGGCAGGCAGATTGGCAACCACAGTTTTTTCCTCTCCTTTAAAACCGCATGTTTAAACCAGACGCTGCTGCCCATCGCTCACTCTCTCTTAGTCGGCTCTTACGACACCCACAGGAAAGGAAAAGGTATTCTATGACAGGATCACACAGCAAAATCAATATACTGTATGGTGAAGTCAATATGCTGTATTTCTTATTATTGAATGAAGGGCTTTTTTAGACAGTAAAAACCATTTAATGATCTTTTGTGCTTGCCTTTTTTTTTTAAAGCTCGCAGCTAATTCCTATCAAAGACAAGAATTTAAACATATTTTTTATCGCCTCAGGATACAAAGTGTATTTTCCAAAAAAGAAATATAGTTTATGTATAAGTGGTCACAAAATGTCAGTGATAACTTACTGAAACGAAACATCATAATCAAAATCTCAAAATCACTTAGCATGGCATGGAAAACTTATGCTGACTTTTATTTGTAATAGAAATTCTGATATTAGCAAAACTCTACAGTAACAGATCTAATTCAAAAGATTAGCAAGCTGAAATAATAGTGGATTATCCATATTGCTTGTATAACAATTGAAAACCAGTAGGGAAGGAAAGCCCTCGAGAAAATCATATAAATGGAATGTATTGCTAATAAAGACAGTATGTGACTCAAAACCTTTTCTGATTACACTCTATAGGCGAAGCATATCATCATAATTGTAGAATACTGATGGATGTATATATGTAATATTTGTCAGATCCGTCAGTATTCTACGACTATGACGATATGTTTAGCATCAATTAAATAGTAATCATAAGATGATCTACTGAGCTTACCATCTTCCAAAGACTTTGACTCAGAAGTACAATTTTCAGTGCTATTTTCAATATTTTCTTCCTCCAGTGTAGCCATATCAAATGACTGAACTGTATTATCTGGTTGGCAATCATCGAGATTTAAATGTTCAATAAGATGAGCAAGTGATGACCATTTATTTTTGCAAACAGGACAAATCAGGTTGGATAAAATGTTCGATAAATGTTCAACAAGTGATATCTTTGAAGTAAATGTTCTATCACAGCAAAGGGGGCATTTCATTATTAGGTCTTCCATTATAAATCAATCGCTATCATGTACACCACTTATGTACGGATGCGACAGGGTCTGAGGGCATATTAGGTATTGCGAGTAGTTTGTTTATCTTCGTAATCGCTACATTCGGTTTGTGTCTAAATTCTCAACAAATCCATTTTATATATGAAGAACTTCACACTAATTATAACTGAATAACGTGAAGAAAGCACAGAAACATAAAATCAAAAGACAGCAGAAGTTTGCGCAACTACATGCGATGGTCGCTGCTGCATTACACTGACAGTGCAATTGACATTTCATGACATTACAATCATGACATCTTGGGAGCCTGTTGAACTTAAATAAAGAATAATATTTGCGATCCCGCTGCCTGATAAAAGTAATAATATTAACTACAAGCCCTTTATCTTGCACTTTACATCAAGTTTTTAAACTATGCTCAAAAATTGCTTGATATTTCTTATCACTTTAAATTTTTGATATATTTTGTATTTGGTATAAGTGTTTAAGTGACCGTTTGTGATACCTTTGCAGAACGATTCAGGATCTAAAATTACAATATGCATTAAAGTTCTATCTAGTTTTTCAAAGATCGTGAGTAACTTTGCCCAAGCTATTAAAACGATTAGAAACTTATAGTGTTATACATCATATCAGGATCATAGATACTATGCTTAATTTGTGGTAATATCGTTATTTTTAATAATTGGCAGTCGATCAAAAATGACAATGTTTATAAATGAAAACCAATTACAAAACGTAGGTTACTAATTTTTAATTTAAAAAATGTGGTATCTAGAGTCGTTAATTGTATAAAATGTAACCCAGATTAGTGATTTCAATAGATTATTTAACAAACTATTATTATCGATTGTACTACTCTTAATACATAAATTATTTAATTTTGTAATTTCATACACAAGATTTTTTTATTGGTGGTCAAAATATATTTTGTCCAACTCTATATTAGAAATGTTTTATATTTATTAATTTATTTGCACAAAAATGAAAATAACGTGAAAAAGTTTTTATTAAACAATCCCATTTCGATTGTTATCCTGTCATGTAAGCGATATTTTGCGAGCGATATAATGTTAATTTGGCAGATTAAATATAACTAATGCATTCTACATAGAATAAGCAATTATTTAAATAACATGATATACATAATTATTTTATATATCTTCATTATACCTTGTTGTATCGTAGGTATATGTCACACAATAAATAATATGTTATTATATTCATATGAAATATTGAAATCTATAAAATCCAGTTAATAGTGTATTATAGATTTAATCCTACTTTTCGAATGCTACCTATCGAGTGGCGGTCTCGGTGAAAATCAACGCTACAGCTCCATGTTGTAGCTTAAGCCAAGTGGGGACCATTTCTGCTGCTACCACATAATTATTATTTTAACGTATAAAGTTGTCATTAATATTGTTTAGTTCTGTAGCCGAATAAATGAATTTATTATTATTATAAGATATTGCTGTGAATGTTTAGCCGATTTAAATAAAAAGATCTAATAGTATTTAGTCAAAAGGTGGAAAACAACACGGTACGTGATTTCCTACAATTAACTTTCTTTCACGTAAGAACACGTACCTTCTAAAATGTTGTAATCTCTTTATCAACTTTATCAGAAGTAGGGACACACGAAAATTTCACCGTTTATTGGTGTCTTTACAATCAATAAATTATAATCGATATGCCCATTACATCACTATACAAAATAAAAAAAATACGCCATTTTGTCGTGTTGTCTGTCATAAAATATTATACTTACATATTTTATTTGGCATCGTTTTAGTAAATACATTATTTAAAACCAAAATATTCTTTCAATTTGTAAATAAGTAATTGCAAGTGTTTAATTATTGAATATTCTAAACAATCTTAAATCTTCGTATCTTGCTATGTATATAGGTACGTGTATTTATAGACAATATTGTATTCGCGGGTAAATTTGATTTATACTTCATAATTTAAAAATGTTAGGAAAAAGAATGCATCACAATAGTAAAGGGAGAATGGCTAGTAAGAGTCATGATAACGGGAAACCGTCAAGTCCAGGTATAAGCCCTTATAGTAAACCAGCAAAAATACCTGGTTCAGTTTCCGTGGGAAAAACTAAAGTAGATGTGTGTCCTATCCCTTACATCAAAATACAAGATAATCCTATAACTTTACCACGGTTTACATCTATTGCTGCAAGATCTGCAGATGAAACAATTGGTATGGATGAACTTGATGCCCTACAGTTAGAATTGGAATCTCTTTTGTGCAACACAGCCCTCCGAATAAGATACTTTCAGTCAGAGATAGAAAGTATTGACACAAATGAATCAAAACGAGAAAAAAAGGGGAAAGCAGCTGGTAAACAGTTACAATATCCTGTAAAAAGGAAATTTTTGGAGGATAAGTTAGTGAAAACCAAAGACTATACTAAATTGTCCAACCAGCCTAAAGTGCCTAAGTTTAAAAACTTTTCCAATGCATCCAGTGCATCTCATAATTATTCCAACGACCATGGAATGAATTCTGATAATTCAGTGAAACTGGAGTTATCACAGTTTGCTTTACCAAAGAATAATATACCGTATAAATTTTGGAGTTCTGTAGAACCCTACTGTGCTCCTATTACATTGGATGATATAAAATTTTTGGAATCACTATTGGCACAAAGCAGTAATACAACCTTACCACCTATACCACCACTTGGTAAACATTATTCTGAGGTATGGGCTGATGAGCATTTAACAGAAGATCAAAATGCTTCTAACACTAACAAGCAGAAAAGTGGTATGTCACCTGATGCTTCAAATATGCGTAAAAAATTAGACAAAACAAATGACAATATGATTACAGGCCCATTGACACAAAGATTAGTGTCTGCCTTAATAGAAGAAAATGTATTATCTTATGAAGTACCAGATATAAAAATTAAACAGAATGCTACCACTAAAAATAGTTATAAAAATTCATTGACTCTAGAAAAATGTTTAAGAAAGGAATTGGTTGAACAAGGTATTTTAGATCCAGAAGATTTGCCACCGTTGACTAATCCAGCTGACGATGAAATATTAGCAGAAATCAAGAAATGCCAGACTGAACTCACTGCTGTGAGAAAAGACAACTGTCGTAATCTCAAAAATCTTATTGGACTATGTAAACAAGAGATGATTAGACTGAATTTGAAGAAACAATTGGATCAGGTAGATATGGAATGTATTGATATTTATAAAAAGATGGTGGCTGCAAAGCAGAAGAAACGTCCCATCACTAAAAAGGAAAAGGAAGATGCATGGAAAGTAATCAATGAACAAATCAGACTAAACAAAGAAATTAATTCATTACCTTTAACTGGGCCAAATTCTAGTTAATTTTTGTCACTTATATTATTTGTGAAAATACCATTACCTAAATATTTTGCTAGTAAGTATAATTAATAATATTATTCTGGGTAAAGATATAAAAAAAAATGTTTGGTCAACAAGATTGTAGATAATAAGTACTATTGCTTTTAGCAATTTTCTGTTACAAATGAAATAATTCCTTAGATTTAAGTTATTTTAATTTACAAAGCCATTAAAACAATCAAGCTAGAGGTTTTTGAGTTTTATTAAATTTGCACAATGCATTATACAATTTTATAATTCACTTTTTGTCTTATGACTTCTGATGAAACTTCATTAAATCCATTGAGATGATATAAAAGCATTTTAGACATCATCAATTTTCTTTTAATGAGTGATAATGATAGATCCCATTTGTGCTATACTATATAATGGTGGGGTAATAGCGATGATGAAAGGTGAAGATGAACAATTTTTTTTAATGGGTGAAAATAGAATGGTATACTCACTTATTCTATTGGTATACATAGATGGGGCACCACTGAGCAATCTTAGTTGAAAATGAAAGTGGATCATCATGATGAATTCCATAAGAATTAACCAAGATGGTTTCACTCTCTCACTAGTGCCCCGCCAGTGTATACCGTTAGCGCAGGTGGAGTTACCATGCCATTATCATCCACTATAAGAACCCAATATTCCTAGATGGGAAGGAATTATTAGTAATACGAGCTACTAACCCCATTGCTAGCTATATTCCCTGTAAGGTCAACTTCCATGTTCCATTTGAAACCATTGTGGTTGATTAATTCTTGTGGAATTCGTTGCGATAGGCTAACTGACCTGCTTTCATCCTCACCTATCATCTCTCAATGGTACCCTGCCAGCATTTACCGATAGCACAAGCGGAGTTTATAAAGAGTTATTATAATATTCTTATCGATAAAAAAAAACGATATCAGGTATCTTGGATTTAATGGTTTGTCACAAGAGAATTACATATTAATCGATGGTTAGTCAGAAATTATATCTAATTTTTCACTCCATGTTGAGTAAAAAGAAAATTATATTTTTGGAGTAAGGTATGAAATGCATGCCCTATAAAGAGTATATATATATATATATATATATATATACCAAGATATTATTAATGGAATTAAATTAATAACTATATTTTTTTTTTCTTTTAAGATTTTTTTGGTACTAATATACACCTAGTATGCTACGAAATAGAAGTGCTAATCGATAACACGACATTCATGTACCATCAGGCGGAACGTATGCTTGATTGTCAGTTTTATAAAGACGTATTCTCCAATCTACATTCTGTTGCTGATTAATTTAAAGTAATTAAATTGATTCAATCTTAAATTATTTTATTCTAACATCATTATAATAAACTAAGCAAGCACTATCGTATCTTTTATTTATTGTTGCTATTAAAACAAGGAATGTAATAATTCTTTTTTAGTATATTTATACAAATATCAGTATTACTTAATAGGTATTCAATGCAGTGTGTAATTTTCAATAATTTTTAATTTTAATATTTAGGATGTTGTTGAACTCGTCTTGAGAGCATTAACTTTAGGTTGACGAAGTGTGGCAACATTGTAATTACCTGTCAAACTCAGTATTTTAGCATCTGATTAATTATTTAAAAAGTGTTCTGCTTACGAAGTAAAACGTTAAACATACAATAATATATACTTATTGTTATATTGTAAATACTTCTTGGTAGTTAGTTTTTTTATTGTACCTGTCTGTTACTGAATTGTCACCTTAATAAAATTGTCTTGCTACTAAAAACATCACTCGATTCCTGTTATTTATTGACCTCTGATATTTAACGCAAACTATATATAAAACTTATTAAGTTGTCACTGAAAATTTAATATTTGACAGCAAAAAAGTACTTATTCAAAAAATTCCAAAGCGAAATACGAAGTAGGTAGATTTTAGATAAATGTATGATCTATATGATGATAGATTAACGTTTTAGTTCGTGTAGTTATTAATGAAAATTGTTTTTTTTTTTTTTTTTTTATAATCGACAGATAATTACGAATTTACGACGTTGCCACAATTCGTTTTAAATTGTATACTAGTAGTACGTATATCATAATTCTCGAAGACATAGTTCTATTGCAAATGCTTTTAGGGGGGTATTCTGGTCTAGAAAATTGAAAAAATTAATTTTTGTTTTGCATAGTTTCAAAGCTTAGACTTTAAAAAATATGCTCTTAAAAGGATTTTTCAAAATTCGATTTATTTTGGGAGATACAGCGGATTTTGTGACGCGGAACCTAAACTGGCCGAGCGGAGTTATCACACAATGAATGGTAGATGTTTTCCAGAAATTCTTTTGTATCCGACTTGAGCTCGTTATGAACCCTTTTAAATTTTTGTATATACCTGAATAACAGTACGTACCCAATATACCTGGAACTGTCCACACAAAATATACCTGGAAGTGTCTATAGTATAATTTACAAATTATTACTTATATATTTTTCTGTTCAATTTAGTTTCGATCTTGGAGCTAAATAGACTCGTGTTCAGTGCATAGTTAATAAATACACAAGTTTTTTGTTTTTTTTTATAAATATAGAAAAATTATAGATAGATAGATACTCTTTATTGTTTCCTCCAAAAGATTACAATAGTAAACTTATTATAAATATAAATAATTACATAAAATAATCACAATGAGAAAACAATGGGCGACCTTATCGCTAAGAGCGATCTCTTCCAGGCAACCAGGCAGGCTGAATGGAGAGGAGTAATTATAAACAATTTGATAGGAGGCACGATGAAAAATTTTGTTAGTTCTAGATATGGGAGATGTAATACATATAATAATATAAATATTATCCCTAATATATACTATATACATATAATTTAATACACATACACTCAAATACAAATACACATATATACATACTAACACATATACATATACATACATATACACATATATACATGCATATATTAAGAAAATGACAACTTACTCAAATAAAAGTCCTTAAGTTTTGTTTTAAAACTAAGCAGACATTTTATATTTCGTATGGAAACTGGTACAGCATTCCATAGCCGTACAGCTTGCACCGTAAATAATTTGTCATAAAAATTTGAGAAATGTACCGGAGTTTTCAGCTGGAGGCCCTCAGAAGACCTAAGATTAAAAGAATTGAAGGTATGCAGGAATTCAAACCGCTCCTTCAGATTGTGAGGGGAAGAAGAGTTGAAAAGTACATTGTGGAGCAGTGAAAGAATGTGAGTATTCCGGCGAAAACGAATAGGAAGCCACTTGAGCTTAGCGCGAAACTGGGAAATATGATCATATTTTCTAAGACCGAAAATAAACCTGATACAAACATTTTGAAGGCGCTCAAGTTTGTTAAGCTGGTATTCCGTAAGATCCAGATAACAAATATCGACATAATCAAGAATTGGAAGTAAAAGAGATTGGGATAGCGTAATTTTGGTAGCAGTAGGAAGGAAATTACGCAGTCTACGAAGTGAGTATACTGATCCGAAAACTTTTCTATTTGTGGCCGCCAAGTAAGAGAACTATCAATAATTACACCTAGATCCTTTACCGATGCACTGAAGGGGATATCCACATCACCAAAAGTTATAGGTATAAGCGTTGAATAATCTACCTTTTGGATTAGCTTAGGACTACCTACCAGTACTACCTGAGATTTGGAAGGATTTACTTTTAAGGCCAAAAGCTTTACTCCATTTACTTATATGTTTGAGATCTTGGTTATTTAATGCAATAGCATCGTTCAAGTCGTCTTAAGGAGCCTGAGTATACATTTGTAAATCGTCTGCATATAGATGGTAGAGAGAAGTTAGTTGGTTTGATATAGTATTTACAGAGCTGGGCACCATTAATCAAATAGTTAACTGCGTTAATCGTTAATCCGTTAATAAAAAGTTAGCTTCGTCAAACGTTAAAGCGTTACATTTCAGAAGAATTAACGCAAGTTAACGTTAATCGTTAATCCGTTAATATGTGTAAAATTGCATTTTTATATCGTTGCGTTAGTGAACTTATAAAACCTGTTGGTTTAGGTTCTGGAAATTAACAGGTTAGGAACAAAACAAAAAACTTGAATAATTCTAATGAGTAATTTAATCATCGGACATCAGGTGCATATTCCCCTTCATGAACATTGATATGTTGAAATTCTCGTCTGAAAGCGAGGCTCATTTTGGTATTAGAATGTCTTTACCCATGGAAAACAGACGTTCAACTGCAGCGCTTGAGGGTATAGCAGTATTATATTTGATGAACAGCTTTATGAATATCTGTTCCCTGAGGAATGCAGCATCATCAAACGAGTCTTTTGATTTCATGTCCAGCCACATTTTAACGAGACTTTGCGCTTTACTCTTTAAAAAATTGGAGCTCTAGGGTTTTTCTACTGACTGAGTGACAGAATTGAAAAAGTCTTCCTCGTCATCATCGTTGTTACTAGCATTACTCCCTCCGCCACTTAAACTATCTCTGTCCTTGGAATTTTCCACTGCTTCTTGTTGTAAAGCATCTTCTACCTTTTAGGTACTTCTTTTAGTTACTTAACTAATCAGGTATTGCTTCAATTCAATGTGTTCGTCAGTAATGCGTCTACCTAAAGTTCTTCTTGAAATTGAATTTTAGTTTAACGTTTTTATCAACGCACCAAAAGATTTGCTTTCGACAACATGTAAAGGAATCATGTTTGAAACAAATAAATTTACTATACATTTATCTACTTTGGCTTGAGGTACACCGCTGCCAGTGGCTGCAATCCCGAATGATTCCCCGATGCTCAGCTGCCGACGCTGTTGTATTTTTCTTTTAACAGGATTAGGATTACTGTGATACTGATACTTGTGCTATCTTCATTAATATTGTCAGAATGAGTTCTCCTTTTTGTCTTGCCCCGGTTAGAGCCCGCTTTAACAATCTCTTCAAACTGAACGTATTGTGACTCATGTACCCTTCTTACATGTTGTTTCAAATTATTCAGGCTTGATACATGAACTTTTATTTTGGTGTCCTTCGGCAAGCATCGCTTACACGCAAAAAGTATTTGCTGGCCCGATCTGGATACAAATTCCATATACTCAGTCAAATGTGGCCATGGATTTTCATCAGGACCGCTGGAATCCGATTCCATCTCTTCCATGATATGGTTTTAATTACTACACTGTAGCACAGTAGGTACACTTTTTCTATCTAACTAAATTACACTGCACTCTTTTTTATCAACATGCAAATGATCACTAACAGTAATTTATAATAACAACAAACAAAACACTCGTCATTTTTAAGCACCGGCGCAAGTAATTAAATCAAATGAAATGATCAAACGAAACAAATCGCTTCCCAGTTTTTCACTCGCACGCACCGGCAAAATATATTTAGTTTTGTTTTCGTTTCACACGCTGCACGGCGCCGTCCGGTACTTGTAGTTTCATAGTTTTCATGCAGGTCTGAACCTGTTTTTCCCGCCGACTTCTGCATTATTAACGGAAGTTAACATGTCCGTTAACTTTTTTAAAAGTTAACTTAAAAGTTAATCCGTTAATTAAAATGTTAACTTCGTTAATTAACGATTAACCAATTAACGAGTTAATGCCCAGCTATGAGTATTTATAAGAACTGAAAAAAGGAGAGGAGACAAGACGCCACCTTGTGGAACGGCAGCAAACGTATCGCACCAAGATGAAGACACATCGTTAATTTGAACTCGCTGCCGGCGTCCACACAAGTAATCACGAAACCACTCAACTACAGGTGGAGATACGTTAAGAGAGTGTAACAGTTCTAGTAAAATGTCAACATCGATCGTATTAAAAAAAAATAAAAAAATAAAATGGATAAGAAAAGTTCTCTGGGAAGCTGTAATCGTCCTGATTGGCAAAAGAAGAGACGATTTTCATCGAATCAATTCACCGTAGAAAGTGAAACTAGTTTTACAAGTGCTTTTGCAGCCAAATTAAAAAATTAGGGAAACGAGGAAATAATAATTAATAAAAATTTTGGGTACTGTCTACTGGAATTTTATTCAGTTTTTCAAACTCTCTCCACTTTAATTCTATGTGCTACCTGCAAAGAAGAAATTAAATTTTCCCAAACAGCACCACGTGGACTAGGATTTAAAATTGTTGCAGTGCAGTTGTGAAAATAATAAGTACATTCAATCATGTCCTTTGGTGAATAAACACAACAGCTATGAGACTTTTAGGAGTAGGACGAGAAGGAATAAATATTTTTTGTAGTGTCATGGACATATGCCAAGGTTTATGCGCCAATACTTACTACAGTTGCCTAGAAAATTTACATTCAGCCACAAGTGCAATTTACAATCAGATAGTATCTAGAGCAGTAAAAGAAGAGCAAGAGTTACAATTTGTGTCTGAGCATCATGAAAATCCAAAACACTTGACGATTTCTGGAGATGGTAACTGGAAGAAGCGAGGATTCACTTCACTTTTTGGCATTACAACCCTAGTCGGTAAATACAGTAAAAAAGTTGTCGATACTGTCGTAAAATCTAGCTTTTGCCAAGGTTGTAATCTGTGGAAAGGTAAGAAGAACTCTGATCCTCAAGTTTATCAAGATTGGTATGAGAAATATGAAGATTCATGCACCTTCAATCACCGGGGAAGTGCTGGAAAAATGGAAGTAGATTCTGTGGTTGAAATGTTGAATAGATCGGTCGAGAAGCACGGAGTAATATATATCATATATATTGGAGATGGAGACTCCAAGACATTCAAAGGCATTCTTGATATGGACTCGTATGATAATAATCCAGTTGTAGTGAAAAAAGAGTGTGTTGGGCATGTCCAAAAACGTATGGGTGCCAGGTTACGTAAAGCAAAGAAAGACTATAGTGGTATTGGTGGCAAAAGAGCTGGTAAATTGACAGATAAAGTTATCATTGAGCTAAGTTTATACTACAGTCTGGCAATTCGTCGACATCCAGACTGTGTGCAGAGTATAAAAAGTATGGGCTACTTATTTTCATCGAAGTTCAAGTGACGAGAATCCACAACACATGTACTGCCCTACTGGTTCATCAAGCTGGTGTAAATGGCAACAAGCCGTAGACAACAACACCCTTGAAGGCTTTGTCCACGAGCACCCTCCTCTGGATATTAAAGTATTGGATGTAATTAAGCTCATTTATACCAGCTTATCATCTGATCATTTATTAGAACGATGTTTAGGATTCGAAACACAAAATAATAATGAATCCCTCAATTCACTAATATGGACTTTTGCTTCAAAGCATATTTACACTGGAACCCAAACTATAGAAATTACAAATTATTTAGCCGTTGCTATTTTAATGAAGGCTTTTTAATGATAACAAAAAAACAACGAGCTGAGGATTAATCGCTTTGATCTACGAGCTTCTGCTGCTTCAAAAGCAGGTAGAACAGCTCGTTTAGAAGAAATAACTTCACAAAATCTCGATTTTGAGAAAGAAGAAGGTCCAATGTATGGATATGGGATCGCCGATTAATCCAAAGTGAGTATTAAATATTATTATCTGAGTTATTCTATTGGAAATCTTTCTTAAACTTCAAACGCGTTTTTCTCAAAACTCCTTTTGTTGAGGTGGTTGACACGATACCTGAAGTTCTATCTGACCGATACCTTTGAAATTTTGTGAGAATCTTCTTTATACATCTCTTTATCACTTAGAGCTTGGATTATGAAAAATTTTAATTTGAAGTATTTTAAAAAAATTCGTAAAGGTTGAAAAATAGGGTAAAATAATTTTTATTCAATGGGCGTCATTTCGTGAATTTTTTTTTGGCCAAGGTCCAAGATGTAGCTACATTTTTATTAATTAAGAATTTTTTTGTTTGTTCGATTTAGATCACTGCAAGGGTTGGAATCATGTGTACCAAAAAGCACCGTTTGACTGGCAACCCCCACTTCACCGGTCTGTCACTGGATGAATTTTTGGCTTTTTTTTTTAATTTTTTTTATATGCTTTAAAAATGAATAAATATTGTATAAAAAAATGAATAGTAAAAATGTTTTTAATTTTTTTTTATCCTAGTTTGAAAAATACCCAAAAAGTAGGGCTCTAGATCAGAACACCCCCTTAAGGATGGATCTACACTATAGTACTACTTTTGATCCGCCATCGGTATAGTCATACAAACAGTTATTTATTATATACACATACAGAATTTTAGTATATTATATAATTATATTGTATTTTAACAGACCTGAAGCAGACCATCAGTGGCACTATAATGCAGATGCGGTCATATTGTATTTAGCCTAAGTTGTAAGAAAATTGAAAAAGTTTCTGGTCAAAGAGTAAATAATCAAGAGATAAGAGAATGTACTTCATACAAAATACGTTAAACGACTTGGTCAGGAATATCTCACCAATCTATAAAAAATATCTTCCTTTTCTCGTTATGTTGGCCAGCTTGACGATGAAAGTGGAAACGAATAGGTACTAACTGTACTATATTTGATAAAAAACGCGAATCAAGTGATAAAAGAAATATATAAATTTTATGTCAATATGCATGTTCCGATGAACATTTTTTTGCAAAAATAAAAGATAACATGCTTAAATATATTTATTATTTTATACAATATTACATTGAGATCTCTATTTCCAAATATTATTGATAGTAAACACATGTTTTCAACATTTTTCGTAATATTCGATAAATTTCTAGAGTAAACCTCGTAATAGAGTCAATATTAATTATACAAAGTTGTAATTCTGACGTCATAATAAAAAGAAATATGAAATACAAAGCTAAAATTATTCCACAAATAGTTTAGATGGCAGCCATTTGCATCACATTTGACAGTATTTTTGTTAGTTAAATTGACATTATTGTGATTTCATCATTTAACTAAAGGTTAGGTTAGGTTGGCATGATATTTCCTGACCAAATCCATTCATTAAAAGCTAGTATGGAAGTTACGCAAGACTAGTTATGACTATAATATTTGACATCTGTCACGATTAAATCAAGTTCTACTGTCAATACCGAATGAACATATACTTATGTCAAATATTTTTGAATTTTAACTGTATTGTTTAACGACATATTTTAATATTATTATTGTACTATTTTTATTTTAAATAGATATTGTCTTTGTGTCTTATATATAAAGAAATGGATAATCCACTGACCCCTAATAAAATTCAAAGACTTATGCATTTGGCCGAAGATAAACCGTTTAATATGACAATGCCAAGGCGTTTATTGCTCAATGACGAGGACTTGAAGAGGCAAGTAGAAACATTTTTACATTTAAAATTAGATCATTAACTACATAAACATATAGGTATTTAGAAATAGTAAATAGATAATATAGATAGATATATAATAAAAGCGTAAGTATGACTAATAGAGAAGACTGAAAAATATTTCCTATTTATATACCTATACTTTTAAAACAATAACATTGATAATATTATTATTACCATTTTTTAGCGGTTCTTTCATTATTAAATTACTTTTTTTTTAATTTGTTGTACATAATATTTATTTTGTATTTATAATAGACTTGCATCACATCAACTGGCTCAGGATAAATCCTCTACCAACTACGAGTCATCATCTGGTATCTTAGATTTGGAGAAAGTTGAAGGTATATAAGAATATTATATATATTATATAAGAAGATATAACAAATTTATATTTTATTTACAAATAATTATAACATTTAGTTTTGAATTCAAATACTTTTAAATTTCGATTTTGAAGGATTAGAATAATTTAATTTTTGTTTTTTTTTTCTTCTGTTATATAAAAAATAAAATTTATATATTATTTCTAATTTTGAGTAGATTTAGAAACTAGGCTATACTTACATTTACAAAACTTTTACCCAATAAAATCATTATACTTACTAATATTTTATAGTCAATAGTTACAGGCCATAAAAGCTTTGCCATTTCATGTGTCATAAAAACTTTTTTCCTTTAAATTTGATAAACTTTCAACTTACTGATATCGGTACTTCAGCTTTACCTTAATAAAATAATGATCCCCATTTTTTTTAATATTTACAGGTTTCGGCGAATCAGATATTGGTAACCTATCTTTGAGTAAATCGGTAAATATTTCTATTATTTCATACTTATTTTTTATAAATGATTTAGTTCATTTCTTTTTAACTCAGAATTTTGTTAATTTATAAGAATGTAATCAACATAGTCAAGTAAGTAATATGTGAGCAATATTGCAGACTATATGTTGATGAATTTAATGTAATTAAACAATGGGTTTTAAGAAAAATATCTATAATAAAGAAAACTATGGAATACAGACTATGATAGTGAAAAAGAGCAAAGTGACGATTGTAAAAACAAAAAAGTATAAAAGTACAATATAAATAAAATCTGTAAATGAATTAAGGAGTTTGCAACATACTAAATGATGTGCACATCATTTAGTAATAAAAGATTCAATGTTCTTGAAATAGGAAACAGATTGCTACAATAGTAGAGTCAGGGGGGAAATTGAATGTTAATAATTTAGTCTAAAAGCCTCATTCCTAGCAATATAACTTCTTCATGTGATTTTCTCTGGAAATAATCTTGGTTAATTCCAAGTGAAATTGTCCCAATGGGCCAACTCACCTACTTTAATTCTTACTTATCACCTCTCACCAGTGCTTAGCCACTATTAGTTAAAAGAAATATTAGAAAGTTAAAATTAAAAAAATGTACTCAATAGAGTTACTATACTTGTATTAATGTTGTCTAGACTGCTTTCAACCCTGGTGAAATGACGGGAAGATCAACAGGCACAGGAGAGACGAATTCAAATGTTGGACAAAATTCAATGGGAGTAAGTGGGCTGCGTTTGTGTGAGAACTATAATCGGCATTCAATAGCCCTCGACAGTATAACCAGTGAGATGGATAAACAAACCAGTGAAGTAAAAGATATACTGAGACATTCAATTGCTACTAATTATTCTTTCCATTCAAAGGTAACTTGTAAATTATTTTAATATTTTGAAAGTATTTTTAAAGTGGTGGTATTTAGCCACTAGAGTATATATAGTATAGTTTTTTATATTTGTCATAATTAGTGAAGGATCTTACGTTAGTTATCAATATTATTTAAATATCTTTTTTTCAAACTTAACCATTTAAAAATAAGAAAAAGAAGTAGTAATATTACAAAATAATTTTAACTTTAGCTATTTGTTTATTTTAGAAACTGTTACTTTTATTAAAGATTATTTTCTGATAATGGTTATATAAAATGTTATGGAAAATCAGATTATAGACACTATTATTATATTAAATTCTGCAATCTATCATAAAAATATCATGAAAATCTAGGAGGGAGAATAAAATGAAGTGAAATTGTTTTGGCGGCCCACTGGGCAGTACAATGCAAGGGAAGACTATCACACTGCATTAAAGTGTCTATTTTCTTACTTTTGTCATACAAATCAAAATTCATATTTCACTTTCAATAGCAAATAGTAGCAAGGCAGATATTAAGTCATTGCTTGTAAAAATATTTTTTGTGATTTATCATTGGTGTTATCACAGCTAATAAAAATAAGAATTTCACTAATAATTATTATAATGAATTAAAATATAATTAATTAAATAGAGTAATAACTCCTTTCGAGAGTATAATATGTAATAATTATTTTCCTATGTGAAGGCTATGCCTTCCACTCTCGGAAGGCTATACTAGTTTTTAAGAAGCAATCTATTAATTTGCCTGAAGATGCTTTGTTCAGAGGTCAAACACGTGTCGCAACATGTGCGAAGTTTGAATAGCAGTCAGAGATTGATTATTAATATGGGAAGGTCATAGAATTTCTACTAATAACAATAATAGTCAATCCTCAAATGTTAACAGTTCCACATATACTAATGACAGTGGAGTTAAACATGTTTTGTTTTCATTTTTATTCATTATAATCCACTAATAAATCTTTTTGATTTATATTTTATGTTTTTTTTTAGAGAGATTTAACTGCAGATGAGGCCTCATTAATGTTGAGAGAAGCCCCATTGCCACAGCAACAGCAGTCCCATTTTATTGAGAGTATGTCGTAAGTAATTTATACTGTACCGTATTTTTTCTATTCTAAGAAAGAATGGAGGTGTTAGGGAGGTTTTGTGTGCATACTAATAACTTATACTTACATTTTATTATTATAACTCGTAATTGAAACTAAGTAATTGTTATTATGCATCTAATACCCTCAATGTATAGAATAGCGAAAATCCGCAAATGCAACATATTAACTTCATTAATTCATGTCGTCAATTGTATTCAACACCTTTATATGTACCTTATACATATGTAAAAAAAAAAAAGATCTAATACAAGACTTTGAACTCCTCTTTATGTCAATTTACCAGTAAAATGTAGAATCCACATTTAAAATGTAATAATTTTTTACAGCATAAACAGTTCAAGTCTATCTGTTGGAACATACTTTAAGAATAGGTGTTCTGAATTTGGAAAAATGTTGGAAAAGACTGACAGTCCAGATCGGTCAATGAGACCTAGTATCACTGATGGTAATATAATGTAGAATTTTGTAGATAATATTTACATATTCATTTACTTTAGATTAAGTTGTCTGGTTGAGTATTTTGTTCCTTTTATGTTTCTGTCATAAAGCAGCAGCTGCGCTTGCATGGCTGAATTTTAATTTGAATCATCATTTAATATAGTAAATATCCTATCTGATATAACAGTAAAATAACAGGATATAAAGGCATAAAACCATAGTCCTTAAGAATGGTAATGCATGAGGGGCTGATCATCTCTATAGGCGACGGTTATTACTGTTCATCAGGTAGGCCATCAGCTTATTTGCTATTCTAAGTATCATAAAGAACTTCAGCCCTAAATTGGCTATGCTAATTTGTATGAAAGGACACTGAAGCGTTATTATGCGAATATAGCTGCTTAGTGGCAGAAGTACTAATATTAATTTTTAGCATACTACATTACTCGTTGGTTTTCTTTAAAGGATATGTTATTAGCAACTTATATATTGTTTTAATATTTTTGTTTTGATATGTACTATGATATAATTTGCACAAAACATTTCAGTTTCAAGTAACACATACAGTGGTGATCCTGCAGGGTCCAGTGATCTTATAGGTAAATCTACAGATATGTACAACATAAACCAGACATTAGACAGTGTACCTGTAAAATTGCCACGCAGTACAAACACTGAGACAATTCCACCTAAACAGTTTATCAATAATCTCAGCAATATAAAGACATTTGAAAAAGCGAACAATAATGATCCTGTTAACCCTGTAAATCAAAATACATATACCATCAAATCGGATGTAAAACTTGATAATGTGCCAACAAATAAAGTGCCAGATGTACAAAAAAATTTGCCAACAAATAAAGTGCCAGATACACGAAAAAATGCACCTATGTCTTCCAATATGACTTTGAACCTGGATGCAAGTCATAAACATTTAATGAATTCAATGGTCAAACCTGCAGATATTATACTAAAGAAACATCAGTCATCATGGCGTATTGCTACTGATGATACTGAAAGCTCTATCGATAATTCATTCAGTATTTCCAAGATAGCAGATTATCTCGGTTAGTAAAATCTTGTATTCTTAACGTAACTTGATAGAAACAGAAATTTCTTACATATAGTGGAATATAAATAATTATAAAAAGCTATAATCTTAGATAGAGTTGTCAGAGGCGTTTTTCCATTGATTTGCTCATTTTTCTAACAAATTTGAATTCTAAGTGGCGAATTAAGTTAGATTAGTTAATGGCTTTCCATATCCATCCATATTTTCTGGGAATAATAACCTTATATACCTTACTAGCGACCCGCCCCGGCTTCGCACGGGTGCAGTGCCGATACTAAATAGGACCGCCCCCTCCCCCGGCTGGTACCGCTATGTCCGTGTATTTTAAATCTGTAATATCTTCGAAAATATTCATTTAAATTACATGCTGTAAAGGGCCATATTGATCTATATTAAATGGAAAATGTATTTAAAGTACATAATTGGATAAAAATCAATGCTGTATTGCTTAAAATCACTTCGTCAATATGCCATTTGTTCCCGTAAAATGTAAAGGATAAAAAATTGTTATTGTGGGCTATCCTTGAGAGATAGATATATACCATCGTGTACTTTTTTCTTGACCTTTTTAAGATGTACAATACTGTGGTACATTATTTTCATTTATCTCGTGGGGATCATCTAGCGTTTGCATTGTAAGCGCAAAAAAATGTGTTTATTTACGACATCATATTGGAAACCTCTAAATTTATTAATGTTTCTCTACAATATTATGCATGTATTATACATATAAACCCTCCTCTTGATTCACTCGATCTATTAAAAAAACCGTTTCAAAATCCTTTGCATAGTTTTAAAGATTTAAGCATACATAGGGACGGACAGACAGCGACAGCGACTTTGTTTTATACTATGTAGTGATGAAAGTGATAGTGATGATGATAACCTGTTTATTTTCATAATCTAAACTGTAAAAAATTTTATAATGTGTAAATATTATTTTTAGGAAAGCAATCAAACATAAGTGTCACAGACATGATGCAACTGAATAAACATAATAAAAAAATGAACAAAAAGCAACCACTTACTGAATTGCATATGAATGCACAAGAGAATAGGATCGATAGAGATGTTCAGGTTACATATTTGAAGGATGTAAAGAATATGCCGGCAGCCAGTTCAGCTGGTAGTGTCGACACGGTTATATGTCTCGACAAGCTAAAAATAAACGAAGACACTAAATGTATTCCAACAGTGATCGTCAATAATATTCATTCTAATGATATAGAAAATATTGAATTAGAAAATGTAAAAGAGAAACGGCGTTCGACGAGATCAAAATCGCCGTCCAGCAAGAGTCAATCTACACTTAGTACTGTACAAGAAAATTATGTAAGCTTTAAATCAAATGAAAGCCCGGTTCAAGCAATTAATGGTAATTATTATTTTTTATTCCACATATATAGACAAAAAGCATATGGTTCGCCTGAATGTGTGTTATAACTGTAGTCTATACTTGAAATTAGGTCCATAGATAAAGTAACATCTTAGACAATGTTTTTATTAACTGTTATATCGTAAATAGAAGATTAGAGTGTGATATTTAGGAACTAATGGTCTTTTGCTTGTTTGCCATCTTTTGTTTTATACATTTTTTGTATGATTGTAGATATTATTAAAAAAATCAAATATTGTATATATTTGGGTATCTATTATTATTATCTTTTATTATGTTTATATATTTAGTTGAAATTTTCAGGCGAAGCTAATACATCTTATGTACCTTCCCCAAATGTTGAATATAAAGAGTTAGATAGATCTGTAAATTGGCACGAGATGTTACAACATAGGCATTTGAAACACCAGTACTTGGCTAAAGGTTTGTGGGGCTTGCTTCAATCAACTTCTGGGATTGATAACAATAACCTTTTTCTTAAGCTATGTCCTCATTGATAAAATCTAACAAAACCAAGACATGCTTTTAGCCAATCTTTGGGACCACCCAGTTTCGATATGCCCATATAATCTGTTTTGATTGGCTAACATTGTTTTCTGTTATTTGTTTGATTTTGTCGTTATGGAGGTGCTTAATGATAACCATGTTCCTAACAAAAAGATATAAGCTTTTATTAATATTTTCATTTTTAATTATGCATTTTCATTTATCATAACATTAATATACATTTTTGAATAAGTTAAGAGATGGATAATAATTGTTTGTTAAAATATGATTGTGTTTTTATTATGTTTCAGAACAATGGGCTGAAATATTAACAACAACAACAAATGGATTTGTAGGTAAAACTTTTTCCACTACATAATTATAGAATTGATATAATTATAAAAATGGCCATTCATAAATGCTTATAATATGTCAATAAGTAGAATTCTGGAATGCATCTGTTTTAATGAAAACAGCATGACATATGACCTCACGTTTTTTTTTATTAAATTTAAATAGAAGTTTGAGTCGAGTAAATTAACTTAAATGCCTTTTATTTTTAGGAGTGACTTGTCCTGTTACACTAACAATAACAACAATCACAGAAAGTTGGTTGACTGCAAAATTTCAATTTGATGAATTGCCAAATAATGGAAGTGATCTCACTGTAGAAGTACCGCGTATCCCTCTATTGCTGTCTCCAGGCAAATCTGAACAATTCACAGTATATTTAACATCAAATATTGAAATTAATGAATCTCTTCCATTCACGATATTTTTAAAAGATGCTTCAATTGAGGATGGTATGGAACAAAAAGGCAATGTACGGATCAATATTAAAATGCCCACCATAGAAACTATGTCAAGTGATGGCGTAAATAAAGTCACATTTCCACCAACACAAGAGAAGTCATCACTCACAAAATCATTTGTACTAATGAGTGAATGCTCTGAAGATCTACAGTTAGATTTGACAGTCAGTGAAGGTGATAGCATGTTTTTGATTAAAAATGTACAAGAAATAAAAAAGAGTGATGTTAATAAAGTACTAATAGATTGTCAAGGGTCTCAGGAAGAGGCACAGCAAGGTGTTAAGTCGAAATTCAAAGCAATGAACAAACAACTATGCAGATTAACAAGAGGAAACGCCATTAAGGTTACTATTACGTTCACGGCGCCTTTATTATCAGAAATTCAACTGAGTAAGTATTTAAAACAACGGTTATTATATAGTTTTTTCTTCTGGAACGGCAAGTCTGCTTTTAGACATATTAAAAAAAAGACCAGTAATATTTTCTATATTTATATTCCTTGTTTTTATTTCTGCTTTTAGAAATAATTGCAGTAAACGTATTAATTTTTTTTACAATATTGTCAACCCATTGCAAATTAAAATGTTACAATAAGTTATGTAAATTTACATTGAAATTATAATTGTGAAATATCAAAATTTTCTCTCTCTAGTTTATATTAAACGATCAAATTACAATTAACTTCAGCATTGAATTTATAATTATTTTTCAGCAGATAACCTGGCTACATTCCATGGCGCACTAAACGTAAATCTGATTGGTGTTAAAACTGTTTTGAAGAAAGTAAATCTCATAGGTACCGTGGGATCTGTCAACCTAATCTTGAACACGCCGATTGGAAATAAATTACAACTCAGTAATGGTGATTATTTTGAATTAATATGAAAATAAGAATCCACAAGAATAAAAATTGGCATATTAAATTTAAAGAGATGATTTCTTCAGTCTATACTCCTTGCAGTGCTTGGCTGGTCATACTTGTTTCTTGTGGTTAATAAACATTATTTTTCACAAAAAGTGACACTTCTTGTTCTTTTGTAGAGTTTGTAAATATGAAACGTGACGCATTTCGGCAAAATTACTATATTTTTTACACAATAATATAATGTTGGCATTTGTTCTTTTACTATGTTGTATAACTGACCTGAGTAGGATATTACGATCTTGCACAGCACAAGTAAGGTACAGCAAAGTGTTAAAACATGTGTTTTTGCTTTTCGGTTAGAGAAGCACCAGAACCAATGCAATATCTGATGTTAAATCCGGCTCAAGGGACCATAATTAATATTAATTTTATTTAATTTTATAAATACATGGCTGTTAAATAACTTTTTTTACTGGTGTTTTGGCTGATGTTAGATATATTTAAGTGTATTTTTAACAATTTTTGTTTGTATAAAAGTCATTTTAAGTTATTTATCTTGATCATCAACATATCGATCCTTCATTTTCTACTAATGAATATTGTATACTTACAATTCTTAATATTTTCTAGAAATGACTACTATCACCGTTTCCAACACTGGATCAATACCAGGAATGTGGATTGTTAAATTCAAGAGCAACATGGCCAGTAACAGTAATTTTCCTTTTAAAATTTCACCGTCTAAGTTTGACATACGGCCTGGCGCTACAAAAACTATAAATTTGTCCTACACTGGCCCTGATGATAATGTTTATGACGCGTAAGTATATATTCATTGTCAATATTGTTCAACACTGATAATGAAAAACCAAGTTACCTAATGTAGAAGTATAAAACTTGCATATTATAATTTTATACACTATGAAGAAATATATAATACATGATTTAATTTAAAAATTGGTAATTATACCTTAATATAAAAAAAAATGCCATATTTTTACAGAATAGTGATGTTTGAAGATGTCGCCACTGGCAAGAAAACACTAATCAACGTTACCGGTGGTTCAGATAAACCAAAAGCGTTTCCTATCAAAACTAACTACAATGTCATGTCGTGGGTACGCGCCGGCAGGAAAGAGTTGAGTCTCAAGAACTCGACGAATAAAAAAGTCCACATAAAATGCCAAATAGTCGGTGAAGGATTTTCAATAGACATGCCCGGTGTGGAGTCGCGGGGCAGTTATATATTGCCGTTTGGGCCGAACGAATGCAGACCATTATCTGTAATTTTCACGCCTAATTCAGCAGTGCCACACGCTGCACTTTTATATTTAATGTATGATAAGACCAGCGAATTTACACGAAAGGTAAGATGGTCTTCCTACAGTCTAATTGAAAGTGCTTTATAAGTTTACAAAATTAGAATAATTAGTCACTTATTACAATTTAAAATTACAAATTCACACCATTCGCAACAAAACAAAATCATGTTTCATGTGTTGATGTTGGATTTTATTTATTCCAAGTTAACTTTTGGATTCATTTTATACTAGATATATATATTTATACAACTTAGAATGGCAAACAAGCTGACGGTCCACCTGATGGAAAGTGGTAACCGTCGCCTATAGACATGAGTAGTACCATGGACATAACAGAGTATACTGTTTCGCCCATGATACCCCCCATGCGTTGCCATTCCTGAAAACTCAGGTGTTATAGGTCCTCTGTACCCAGTAAATTCACGCCGTATTCCACCCTTCAAACCGATACACAGCCATGCAAACACAACTGCTTCACGGTTGAAACATGAATGGGACAGAGGTACCCAAGCAATCGACTTTTGATCTTCCTCTACCTCAGCCTATCATATTATGTGTAATTTGAAATGATGCTTGGTGTATCGAGTTCTATTTATCGATCTTACTATGTTATTACAAAATATATACATTATACATAGGGGTAGAATGGAAAATATACTAAAATGTCCAAAATTACTATTTAGTTTATATTGCTTGAAATTTTTTTAATCCTTCGCGTATTTAATTTTTAATGAATTCATCCAACTGCTTTCTTTATGTTCTAATTTCTCTCTGATCATTTTACTCTTCTCAGGGGTGAACTTTTTACTAGATATAGCATTTTTTTGTTACTATTTTTAACTTAATTGAAATTTCAAATGTTGGTAGATTAACTAAATAAACTGTCGTGTGCGGTAACAGATAGCGATGTGCGGTTGCGCGGGCGGTGAAGGCGTGCGGTGGCGTGGACCGGTGACCTGCGGTCACACCGCGCTTATACGGGCTTCACCTGGCGATTCTGTATCTCTGCCACTGTACAATCGCGCTGCGGCACCCGCCTTCGTATTGGCCAAGGTGCACTTCAACTGTAAGTTATTTTGGTTTTATACATTAAGAGCGTGCCTAACTTTAGCTTGATTAAGTGTCGTAATTGATTAAGTAACGTCGAATTTGTCAATTTTCAAAAACAATTGAACTGAAGAATTTTCAATGTATTTGACTAATTATTTAAAAAGTACTCTGTCTACAAACTAAAAAGTTAATTATCCAATAATATGCTTATTAAGTTGTCGCACATAATTTGAATTATGATGGCTAAAAAGAATTTGAAAATTCTAAAGTAAAATATAAAGTAAGTGCAATTTTTTTTAATGTAATCTATGATTAACGTTTTAGTTCGTAGGCAGAACGCTTTTTAAATCATCATCGTCATCAACATATTAATGGTTAACTGTCCACTGCTAAACATAAGTCTTCCTTATAAAAGGGGGTTTTGCCAGTAGTTGCCACGTTAGTAGGCGGGTTGGTAACTGCAGTTATTTAGTAATTTATCTGGCCGCAAAACACGACGGATATGGATTTTCATACAACTTTTGCCGGCCGCTGCCCGCATGTATCTAGCCAGTATGGCAATTTTGATTTATCTCGAAGAAGATTGTCAAAATAATGCTCACATTTCCAAGCATGTTGGAGAAAATATAAATTTCAACGTAATGAATACATTAATGCAACACGCAGTGCAGTTCACGTGCGCGGCGCAGAGTGCGCGGCTAGAGGGCGCCGCGAGCGTGGTGGCAGCGCGCGGGGCGCACGAGGTACGGCTGGTGCTGCCGCCGCCGCTATGGTCGCGCCTCGAGCGACGTGCACGCGACCGCGCCGCCGCCGCCGCCGGTGCCTCGCCCGCGCTCGCCACCGTCACCCTGCTTACCGGCGCCGAGACCACGCGCCGTCGCATACTCAAGTCAGTCCACTTCATTTTTTAACCATACTATCTACGGAGGCGTAGGTTATAACGCATATTGTAGCTGCATGTCGCCGTCGACGGTTTCATAATTTTGTAGGTAAGCAGTAAGCAGGCGTACACTTAACGTATAATGATAAATATACGTCTATGAAACTACGTCTCCGTGCCTACTACAGTTATGTTTATTTATACTGTTTTGTTACATTGCTCTCCGATGTTTGCTCTTTTTTGTGAATTTTTAGAAGCTAACAAACAAATATTAGATAATCATAGAACAAAATCTACTTAAATCTATTAGTAACATTTTAGTAAATATAGAATAATGGAATATTTTGTTTTAGTAGTTTCCAACTATTACCTAATTCTGAAATGTCAGTAAATTTTTAATATATATAATTATATGAATAATAACATAATACACTAAAATTTAGATTATCAGAATATTCGATTATCCAGATTTATTCTTCACGGCTCTAATTATCGATTTGGAAAAGGTTTTATGTAACAACCTTTTACATAATAAAAACAATATTAAAATTTTATTATGTATTTATTTAATAATTACTACTAGAAATTACTAATTATTGCAAGATATTGAGTATATTCCTACTCTGAATTTTATGTATTGTTTGATTTGACTTTGAAATCAATTATCCGGAATACTCCTAGTTTTATTTGATTCGGATAATCGAGATTCTACTGTATGTTATTAATATATAATATAAATATATTTTAGCGCAATTCTCTTTTGTCTAGCAAAATAGCACTTATCTGCACAATTGTTTAATAAATAAAAATCCTCTAGGCGACGAACTTCTGTTTTTAAGAATATTAGTATGATGTATGTATGTTAGAGGCTTATGCTACGAAATTTCGTTAGTAAGATTCGAGTTTAATAAATTCGTAATTTACTATCGAAAATGGACTGAGATCCTAATAAGGATTGTCTGTAAGGATCTGATCTGTAAGGATTATAGAGTATAAGAAAAAATTACAAATAAACGAAATATAATATCTAAGATTTATATTATGATCTTTCAACAGAGTTCTAAAAGATGAGGGGAAGAATGGGGAGTTGGATATTTCACTATTACCAGAGCATCTGAGGGTACTGGCTGTACAGTTTGAAGGCGAGGACCCTACTATTGATAATTACTTGGCAGATTTCGAAGAAAGTAAGGTAAGCTGTGGAATATGTTTAGCACATTCTTTGTATGAGGCATATAATTTAGAAACAAATCACAGGACCTAGTTTGAGTTATACACTAGACACATTTTCATATGAAACCAATATGGGAGTATAACATTTTTGATTAAAAAAAAAATCATGATTGACTAAATTTAAATTTCTATTTGATTTCACGACGAAATTCTTATTCTAAGGACCAATATAAATTAACTTTTTAATAGAGTTAAATAAACTCAGAATTAACCCTACTGTTAGCAGTTGTTGAACTAATTTAATGCAGTTAAGAAGATTATTGTGAACAATTTTGTTTTGAATATTGATTCTTCTACTCGTGACCATGATTGGTATAACATGGTAGAAATATCAAGATAATTAGTATGAATTATTTTAGTTCACCTAAATTATCACCTTTATCCTCCATATAAACCATAAAACATGCAGCGCGAAAGCCTAAAAGTTAATATTGTCAACAAGGTTGAAAAAAAGTAGTTACAAGCAATATTCCTGATTAGATTTAAATCTATTGACAGCTCTATTTTTCATTTTTTATATGATAATTGACTTTAAATTTTGTAAAGGACGGAATGGGTTGAATTATTTAATGATAATCTATACTAATATTAAAAGATTTTATTTTTGCAAATATTTATTTGTAATGTATAAACTCAAAAACTTGTTAACCGACTAAAAAATTCCGACACCTATAGAAAGACACATTATCAGGGAGTATCATAGGCTATATATATATATATTGTTTACAAAAAAACAAGAGATCCCTATGAAAATTATATTAATTAATATAAAAAAAATTGGGTTACACCAAATTATCATAAGTTGGCCTATTAAAGTTAATTTATATTTATCGCTACCGTGCTATAAATTGAGATATTGTTTCAGTCATCTCTGGACGAACTGATAGGCGGTCTTCAAGAGTTGACGGCACAAATTGACTTGCCTCAAGACTTCGCCGATGAGAACACAATTATTATCAGCGACGACACCATGATTGAACATCACACACTTTATAATTAAGTTTGAAGTATGTACCTGTATGTTGTTATAGAAGTATTATTAGTTTTATGTGATGTAGATTTTTATACCAGGTAGAATTGTATATTATGTAATTATACACTATAATGGCATTTTAAAAATATTTAAGACAGTATTACTGATTTATGTTTTATGATAATGTAATGATATTTTTCTGAAACTAAGCTCCTAATGCATGGTAGGCAGTTGTGCTTATTATGTTACTTTATTTTTGTACCATGATTATATTTTGGCTTATGTTTATTAGGTTGAATAAGAAAATACTTAAGAAATTATTTTTCAAGCCATTCAAATAATATAAAGCAACTTTTAAAACCCTTTATTGTAGTTATGATTTGTGCTTAAATAAATTTCTATTTTCCATTATGTAAATGGTTTTTTTTTTAGACAAGCATTCTTTATATATTGTGTTATTATCATAGGCCTTTAGCCATTTTTCAAAGCAAGAAGTCATATCTATAGTTTTTAAGAAAATAACATATTGCAAAGTTTTGGTTTTTCAAATAACCAAGATAAGTAATTAGTTTATATATAATTTAGAAGCACCACCCTAATTTGTCCATATGCCGTTTAATTTTTAGGTTTGTGTTTAAAATTTATTATTGTACATTACATAGACAGGATTTTAATATATAAAAAAAATGCACAGTAGGTATATTGGTGTACTTATTCCAAATAGAGATATCGATCAGTCAACCTTAGGTGCATTTGAATATTAGATATACATAACTCCTGGATGATTGAATATATATTAATTTGAATGGAATTTAGTAAACAGGTATATTATCCTTGCTTTTATCTTAATTCACATATGAAAGGGTACTGCTACAGCTAATATTTACTCTATATTATTATTATAATCTTCGAACCTGTAATCTGTCAATAACTATTATAATAATCCGTCCATAATAGTAATCCATTGTGAGGATGTGATATGTGATAATTCTATTTTAAATAATAAAAATTCATTTTCTTTAATTTATATCATTTATTATTTTCTTAACCAGTATATTTACTCCAATCGTTTTCCTATTTTTTTTAAATCATTGTATCTAAGAGATTCCTGTCGTCGCAGTTATCCATTAGAAATTTCATGACCTTTAAAAATATTGCCTACAACTTATAAAACTAAAATGCATTTTCATTTATAATAAAGTCATTCAATACGGCAAAATGATATCAATTTTTATATATAATATATATATATACACAGACTAAAATTGTGGACTTTGAAGATTATTTTTGCTAATATGTATTTAAATCCTTTACTGTAAACCCCTATTTTTTAGACACGGCCAGAATCTTGATAGAATAGAAAACTAGACAATATAAAAGGTGAACGTCGAAACGAACGTTGGAGTTTCAGAGGGGTTTATCGTAAAAGATCAAGTCAAAATTACATCGAACTTGGTGTAATTAATATTATCATGATTATATCTCTCATACAACGAAAATATCCCTCTCAACGCATATAATGCACAAAATACGTATCACACGAACACGCTGCACTACTCGCATACATCACGCGCACAACCACACTCTGCACACACTACATTGCACTCGCTCGCACATCCACACGCCTCGCATTTGGCAGTTTATCAAAGTCATTCTTACAATAATGTTAACATTCACGTTAAACTCCCCATGGTACAAAATGCAAAGCGGCTCAGACCGCCACCATCATATCAACTGAAATATATTCGAGTAAAAAATACAATATATATGAGACGAGAGATAAAACGTGAATGCAAACATTGTACAAAAGTGATTTCCACATGGGATGTCTACTTTGCCGTACAATCTACATATGAAAAAATCTTATTAAAATGGAAGTACTTACACATCGTTATAAGGTTAAGATACAACTAATTTGGGTCAAAATGGCTGACGATTCGATTAGTACAGTGCTTTGAAAATACTATTTTCATTAATTTATTGCATTTATACCTATTAGTCTAAAGTTGCAAAAGAAGACAACGAGGAGATATTAATTTGCAATATATCGATCTAATATATACTAAGTTCCAGAAATGTACAGCTAAAATAATCCCCGGATGACACATTCACTTGCGGATACAGTGCGTATAGTCGTAACTATATACATAACACACTCACACGTTTTTACATTAGGAATTAGACATACTAAACTAAAAAAATAAACCAGTCACTTAATGAGCTATAAAATAGTAATGTAAGATTGCCAACGATACACTGGCCTAGTGTGCGATATGCTCGCATCGCATTTGATCGCATCGCTATTGTTATAAGAACAATGACATCTCTATTAATATAGTTATTTTATAATTGCCGAGGCTCGTGAGTTAATTGCTGTTGTTCAATCTAAATTATTTCTTAACAAGTAAAATACGTTTCTCTGCGAAAACTAAAACATATAGTCAAAACAGAGATCGTATTTTGTAAGAGATCAATATGGCTTTAAACACGTGCGGTTCGCATTAGAGTTGATCAATGTTAACACAAATATTAGCAATAGAATGCCAAGTCTAACTTATAGTGCCGTAAATAAACGTTCATAATAATTAGGTAACAAAATAGTACCATGCTCACCCACCACTGAAAAATGCCAGCTGATAGCTCGGCAGACTTACAACACTCATCAAAAGTATAAAGCGAACAATTTACGACATCAATGCAACAGATAAATGGATTAGAAAATAATTATATGCATTAGGTACATTCAGTTACAATGGGCTAATTTCAATTTGTCATTAAAGTATAATTATCACAGATATTTAAATAAAAGTAAAATATTAATGTCGTTGAATATTTCATGGGATTGTTGCAGTGATTCTCAAAATAATTACACCTACAATGGCCACCGATTGATATCGGAGCCCTCGTATCTCGTATCGTGTAAACCTAGTTTGTCGCTATGTGTTCAGTACTTTTATTAAGATTAGCTTCGAGGACTGTCAATTATTTAATATGCTAAAATGTTTTTGGACCTGAACGTGTAGTATAAATACGTTACAAATGCGAGTTTCCCGAACCGCTCCATCTGGTTGCAACTGCACGAAACACATGCTACACATTCGCCCCGTGCACCTTTTAAACATAGATCTATGGAAAAATTTATACAACACAAATACCATTTTAGACAGAAAATGTAATGTCAGGTGTTTACTGTTTTTACTTATCATTAATAGGTAGACGAGGAAGCGGACGGATCGTCGAAATGTCAATTGTTGCGTCGCCTCGATATCTCTGTTTAATATTGTAAAACAGTTCGCAGTATAATGTTCGCACTGAGACCCCGAGCTCACGGGGGTCTATCGAGGCACTCGTAAAACATCACGTCGAACTTCCACTGTCAGAGTCGCGTACGGAATACAAGAGCACTGTTGCGGAGAGAGTTCCGTCCGCTCGGCCCGTCTCGTGGTCGTCACAGCCGAGGATACGGAGCCGCCACTAGGGCACAGCTGACCTACGTAATAGAGTGTAAGCTTTTAGCCAGTGCTCAGTCTGGAAAGTGATTAATGTCGCATATAAATATGATTAATATAGACAATAGTGTGGATATCAAAAGATAAACGCGATCAACATGCGAGTGGACTTTTCGCCATATTACGACCTTCCATCATCGATATTAATTGCGTATAAGACTTAGATAAATAATATTAAAAATAACTTTTGTGTATGCAAAATAGTTTTCTTTGCAGACAGATCGAGATCACTAATGTTCCTAATATTATTATAATCGCATTACGTGGTAATATTCATAGTATTGTCTGTATTTTATTTTTTTTATGATTACTACTTTCCAGATTAAACAAGGACCGGAGCTCGCACTCTTTACATACAGTAATTATCCGGCCAAAAATATTACACGAAAGATTGAAGAAAGAGCTAATTAGCAAGCTTTCTCTGTCGTACCTACATGACGAAACAAAACGTCATCTGGCAAGTGACAGAGATGAGTTTTATAAAACCAAAGTTAGTTGATTAGCTTTTTCTAAAATTGTCCGCGTAATATTTCCTGGTTAATACTGTAGGTCCTGTGCGACTAGGGCGCAGGCGGTGTGTACGAGGGCGATGCCGGTGGCGCGGGTGGCGCGGGGTGCGGCGGGGGTGGCGGGGGCAGGGCATTTCGTGGCTAGGGCGCGCGGTACAGCAGGTAGGCGGTGAGCGCAGGCGGCAGCGCCAGCCGCGAGGCCGCCGCCTGCAGCCGCGGCCGCCCCACGCGCTGTCGGATCACGCGTCTACACAGCTCCATCAGTGGCAGCGGCTCAGCTGTAAATAGTGACAACGTCTTAAAAACCAATCCATCATTGCAGACTATGAAGGTGTCGTATTTGCTTATTAGTTTTAAATTTTGATAATAACAGTTTCGGTTAATTTAGGAAATCAACTACTGTAAATTGCCACGGGTGTAGTGTTTCGTGTTTGTTTTAATTTTTTTGGCAAAAGGAATCTTAGTTCACGAATCAGCCAATTTGATGTGATTGTATAGCGTTTAGTTATAACTTTTTTTCCCTTATTTATTATTATGTCTGGATGTTGTCTCTTACCAGATTCCGGATATGATGGTTAGAAAATTGTCTTGAATATAAAATAAGCAGAGTGGATTATAGTATATAAGATTATATGGATATAAGAAAAAATATTATTTTTGTATTATTTCTGTCAATATATCCATACTCAAATAAATAGACCAATTAGTTGTGTAGACTCGAACTGATGTAATAAAGGCAAATGCAGAATAATAAGGAAAACGGACAAAGGTACTAACTACAACAAGCATTCGATTTGAGTCGTAGAATCCTCGCTTACGCACGCTTCACGTGATTCGTGATGACGTACGTGATACAGGACAACCAATCGAATTCTTTAGTCAATGCGATATGTCAAAATGCTAGACTGAATATAAAATGTGTGTGTTTTAATGCGTGATTTTAAAGATTGTTGAATTTGCGTTCGTTCATATGTCAAACTATTTGAATGGTACATTATGGTATGGACAATTTTTGCCCATATTTATTTCGAATTATTTTATCCGACAGATGTCGCTTTGTCAATATTTGATAGAAATATTTGGTAGTTAGGATCTGTTTATATGGGAAGAAGAATTTTTTTTCCAATATTTCTCATCATAAGAACCTTTTTTGAACTTCAATTAATAATTGCAGATTTGGTCTAGCTATTCTCGAGTTTTACGCTTAGCAATTCATTTAGCTAGACATTTATATAGTCTACATTTACATAATTTCTGAGTTCATTGAATAAAAACTTTAATATATACTAGGAACCAAGAGACATGTGTATACTCACGATCTAGGCCACCGATATACTTCATGGTGATCTCCGCGTGGCCCCAGACAGCCGACACGATGGGATAGAGCGTGTTTCCGCGGAGACCCCGCGCGGCCACGCCCAGGTAACGGCCATCGGCGCAGAAGGCGAGTGTGCCCTCGTCCATATCTAACACGACCAGCAATCGGTCAGGTACGAGGAACTGCTCGTCGGGCCGCAGCAACGCTGGATACGTCGTACCACTACCGCCCGTGCCTTTAGCGTTGTGATATACCTGGAACCAAATCATTGATTTGTTACTCACGCTCTATACGTTTTACATAATGACGACCTCGGTGTCGCTGTAGTAGGGAGTTCGGTGTGGCATTTATTAAAAAAAAAATATTAAGCTTATATTAGAACGTGAATATTGAAAAGATAACAACATATTTCGGATTTGAAATAATAGTAATATTAGTTTGACATCTTGTTTCATAGAAAATGGTCAAATAGCATCGAATTTTGGATTATGGTGTAGGCGAGAAGCCTAGATGAATATTGTGTATTAATATTAAACCAACATTGCGTTATCATGGAGTAGTTTCAATGGCTTGAAATATTATACTGTTTAGAATTAATTAGAGAGAATCAGACGTTAACTGTCCATTGCTGAACATAGCCTCATAAAGGGAGGTATTGCCAGTAGTCGACTCGCTTGGTATCCGCAGTCAGGGTTTGGTAATGTTTTAATAGTGACGCAGCTGCCCATCCCTCGACCATTCCCTTAGTTGCCTCTCACAAAACCCATGGGAAAGGAAGGGTTAGTACATTCTATGTCGGGACTACAGGGTAATTGAATATATTAGATATATTTTATCCTTAATAGTCTTACGATATTCTCAGGTGTAGTAGGTCCCGCTTCTTGGTTTTAATTATAATTTTCGTTGACTACAATTAAGATAATCACTTTATCTCGTTTAATTCCTATTATGTTTTATGATTAGATTTCTTGTGGGTTCCAAGACAATTTTATCTAAATCATGAGTTGTTTTCTGCCAATATTGAGTATCTTCATCATATTCCTACCCTTATCCTATTTATTATTTGAGGTCGCCGTAATATATTTTTTATACATATTACAAAAAGATTTGGCTTATAGTTTTTCTAGCAGCCGCTTGCCTGACATCAACCCTCTTTGGAAATATATTTGGTGGTTTCCGCCACCTACAGTATGCAGGAAAGGATTGAGGAAAAAAGGAAACGCGTAACGGTGGAAATGTGTAAAGGAAAATAAGAGAAATAAGGGACTTACGTGGGAAAGGAAAGGGAAGACACAGCAATTGCGGTAAAAGTATAAACTCGTATAAATTAAATATTACTAGGCGTGTGCGGTAAGATTGTCTCGATAAGATGAAAGGAAATATTGAATATTCGCGGCTATACATATATAAGTACAATCAAGTTATCCTGATTGCTTTATCAACCGCACACTAAGAACTAACTTGAATTTTTTGCATACAAATTCAGAAATTTTGGTTGCTACTAACAAAATTATGTAGATGATGTGTCATGAAAAAGGATTTTTTTATAGATACAAAGTATAAGTGGAAGACCACAAACAAGTTTATTGACGATGGTTTAGAGAATATGGAAGGCTCGGTCTTAAGGAGGAAGATGCTTATCACTAAATTAAATGATGTTGCGTGATTAGAAAGGCCAACACCGACTAATAGAGAAGTCGAGGTCAAACGATGACAGGTTCCTTAATCTAGCATCAAATAACCTTATTTATATAAAAAAAAAATCTTTATCAACAACAGACATGAGGTTCCTCGTGATTCCATTTGAGGAAATTCTTTTTAGTCTATTCAAAATACTTCAGTAATGTATTATAATAAATACCTATTATGGACATTTCTGTAATACTTCTGTCATAGCTAGGGCGTTGCTCGTCAATGTAGGTGATGCTATTTGTGATCGTAGAATTTGATAATAGAAATCTTGTATAAAGTCAATATTTATATATTGCTTGTCAGCAGAGAACAAAAAAAAAAAAACATTATATTTCTATGTATATTTTATAAAAGTACAGTTAATATAATTCTATTCCTTTTAGAATGAAATTAGAGGACGCTATCTTCATAAGTAGACTAGTAGCTGTATAAAAATCATAAGAGAATTAGCATACTTTATTCCTGCCTAGATCCCAGCCCCAGCTTTGGTCGGTGGCGCCGACCAGGCTCTGGTAGCCGACAGAGTGTAGCGGCGCATGCGCGGTGGCGACGCCAACTACGGCGTGGGTGCCACGCTGCCGCGCCGGCCACACCACCTCCCAGCAGTGGAGCCCGCGCGAGTAGCCCACTCGGCCTCTAATACAGTCCGTGCTCTGTGCGACCGGGTGCCGGTGAAACGTTAACGCATCCTCTTCTTTTACGAATATATTTAGTGACCTGAAATTTAGTAAATATAAGTTAGAAGAAGTCAATTTATTGCCTATATATATATATGTATAACGGTAATTTTCTTTCAACCGGACCAGAGACAATTCGGACCAAAAGACATGCATGCTGCCGATGTCCAATGGTATACAAATTCGATTAATTGATTTAAAGTTTCGAAATTCTTATAGACATGTACGGAAATATTAGGATTTTTATTTTATTATAATAGTTATTTTTCTATTCGGATTATTAGTTACTTCGTTTCCAAATTGTATTGATATTGACACGACATAACATATAGCTTGACAACAACCCACAAAATATCATCCATTTATATTTTACCTCACTTTTGATCGCATGTAGTGCGACATCATTTGTTCTCGTGGGAATTTTGTGAAATCCTATCGTAAGCAAGTATCACGCCTAAGTCATAAAATCAACCTAACATATATACAAAATATCAAATTTCAACCCCAGTGTTTTAGTCCGTGTGCTTTTATAGATCAGTTAAACGGGGCAAGTTTTTATATAGTATTTTATGTATAGATTACGAGTAATATCAGAGTAATCTTTTACAGTATAATCTGTATTTTCATGACATTGAAATCACAATGGTTATGTTCAAATAGTCCGTGAATCTTGTAAATGAATGTTGTCTATTTAGATTTCCCTATTCAAAATTGCTGTTGCATTGCAACCAAGGTTTTCTGTCGGAAATCTCATATTACAAGGATTACGGAATAGAGAAGCGTTTCGTAAACTGTATCTTAAAATAGATGCAGCGATGTGAACTAACGGAAGAGTTAGAAAAAATGTATCATCAATGTTGAACATTACACGATCGTGAATCCTATTGTCTTTAAGTGTGGTGTAATCGGATGAAGAAACTATTCTCTTTAGGTATAATCAGATCCGTGAAGAAACAGTAGGAAGTTATAGAGTATTTTAAATAGTATTTTTAATTATTTTTCTATGGTATTTTCTATGATTTAAATTATATAGTTATAAAAAAAAAATTAAAATAAGAGAATTCTTTTTAAAGAAAAAAAATATTTTAAGTTACTGATGTTAATTTCTGTGTACAGAAAGTAACATCAGTAAACTTCCATACATGGAAGATATTTAAGAAAAAATATATGAGGGGTCTTAATAAGAGCAATAAAAGATAATCATATTTTTTAGGAACTTTGTTTGTCTGTCAGTAGGTTTGTTATGGCATCACGTACAAATTTACACACGACATTAGATGCAGATTTCATTGGTTTTCCTATTTCTGAAATCCACGCGTACGAAAGAACGGGTAAAAATCTAGTCTTTAATATCATTAGCGTATATTTACTAATTGGTGCAGGAGTTATTCATGCATTGCGTTTCAATAGAATTGGTGGCCACACCTTATATGAACTCGTTGCATACATTGATTGTATTTGTGTGTATTTACAACGTAAATATGTACTTAAAGCTACAATTTTTACCAGTTTTTACATATAGCAAAAAAGTTTTAAAAGTTTGATTTATCTTATAAATTAAATATTTCTGTATTAGGATATATATAATGGCATAGTTTGACCTTTGAGTAAATAACACTTTGAGATTGAGCCTTTTTGCATTTTTTTGGTACATAATCACATGATTACTATTTGATCTTTTATTTGTACTATAATTAGATGATCATGTCTATAAGTTTTTGTATCTGTAGTTTTAATGTAGGTGGTAATGTCATTTTATATATAGGCGCTTGCAAAATAGTCTTCCGAAAATTCGACGACCGTCTTTATTGGGGATAAGAGAAGAGGAAACTGTTTCTTGTTACATTACCTGTCATCTGGATTCCATGCATGTTTGAGCTGTAACTCTGGATGCGCGGGCGGCGCGTCTAGGAGCGCGTCGAGCCGCGCGGGTCGTGGCGGTTCCGGCGCCAGCTCTCGCGCCACCACCGCTTTGAATGGCGCCGTGCACTCGCGCGACACCGACTTAACACCGCCGGACAGCTTTTGCCCCATGTTCATGCCCCTGCAGCGAGTGCGGGCGCGCTTCGGCAGCGCCTTGAGGCCGCCGCGCCGCGCCTCCTCCGCGCCGCCGCCGCCGCCGCCCCCGCCCCTCACTGAGCGCACCCCGCTCTTGTACCTGGAAATAAACAAATTTATTCTTAAACGGCTAATCCGATAAAAGGTACGTTTACACAGCCAATCTAAATGGCGAAATCTTGGATTTATATTGTTAAATATGACGTCAAGACAATATTAGGTAATTTATTATCTAAAGAGATTTTCATGGCATGTCTTTGGGAGATAATTAGTGAACTAAGTGCCGGGATTCTATAATTGTACTTCTTGTTTTATGCACTGTCATTATTATTATTATGACGCCAGTATGAAGCAACTATTACTAGAGATATCATAACAGCCGCACTGAGTGATATAGAGCAACTTCTCAATTTATTTACTACCTCGAGCAAGTTCTGGTGGGCAATTACTCAAATACTTTATAATAAATACCACGAAATTGGTACCTTAAAAAATCACAAGCTTAAGAAGGCAGTATACAGTTTATTATTTACCAAACTCAAATGTCAACTATGAATCAAAATCTATAATAGAATATGAGATATTCAAGCTCTTCGTAATGCTAGCTGCATTATCAATTGACTATTGGGTGTTCAATCGGTATTGTAATTATTACTTAATTCTATTATCGGAGTGCTAGAAACCGGTTTGTGCGTTAGTGAGTGGCATCTATGTCGTCACAGCAGATGCCGGGGCGTCGGCTACGGAGTAGCCCGCTCATCTTATGTAACTAAGCGACCGTCTAACCGTGAAAGTCACCGCTCAAAAGCCAAGGTTAACATGGCCCTGGAGCTCGGTCCAACACATGCGAATGTTCTATTACCGCAGATTTAATTGCTCTTTATTTATCCTTGACCATGATATCATGTAATTGCACAGTAAATCCTTCGTAATAAGTTGTTTCTCGATAGTTGGTAATGATTTTTTTTTTAACAATAATGTACTTTTAAGAATTAAGAGAATCAATCTCATTTGCTGGTTACAAACATAATAGTAAATTGGGCATGGTTATCAACATGTTAGCGTTTGTGTGCACAATCTATGTAAGATGGGAAGGGACGCCTAAAAGGCATGCAGACCACAAGGCCGTCTGCCTTTCCGATGCCTAGAGCGACTACATGACAAAAGCGGGAAGTGAAAGGCAGTGAATGTGTCCCCTCCCGTCGCTTCGCCGCCGCTACAAACCGACATCGCTGTTGAACAACTTAATGTTCCTAGAATGCTGCGGTGACTAGCCTGGCGCCGTTGATAGCTATAGTTTTAAGCAGGATTGCGTTTATTCTATGATAAAGCGTGCTAAAACTTATGATGTAGGAGGTATATAAATTTGCGTTAATGATGCCTCAGATACGATTCTCGATTGTCTATTTAAAAAATGAAACACAAGAGTTCCTAAGTCGTAAGTAGTTAAAAAAAACAAGTAATTGACGTGATTGAGTGAAGAAAAATACACACCAATGTCAACTCAATTGAAATGCAGCTTTTTATAAGTTAGTACGGACATGTAAATTAATATCGATCAACACGTCATTAAATATTAGCTCATTAGCTGCTGTTGAGTCGGATAAATTTAACAGCTGCTAATGAGCTATATGTATTTAAATAAATAAAACTTCCTGGTTTGTCTGCAGTAAAGGCATAATGATGCCACAGTTAACATATTCCCTGCCCACAGTTTCAAGTATTTTTCACACTGAAGTATTTTATTGGCTGTGAAAACATATCAAATATACCGACAGAAAATGCCATTTTCGTTTTTACAATATAAAAAAAAGATTGTTAGAAGACTCTGAAGTAATGAAATATTATTTAACAAAATTAGTTATGTATATATATAAAAATATATATGCGTATGTTGTATGTAGTACTAATAAGAATTTTGATAATACATATATAACCTATGATTAAATGGTAACAGTCTAATATACGTTCACGTGGCACGCCCAATGCCCGATGGTAAATAAACACACGCACACGTGATTGCCGATAGCGCTATGACGTTATAGGAGGTCAGGAATAAATTTATTCGACACGAACATTGTAGACTATAATGTAATTGGATTTGCGGTTTATTGAATACAAAATTAAGCGTATATAAAATAATTACATCTCCTCCCGCACAATGAGGTTTTGTAGGTACGTTTCTGTCCTTATCCACCGATTTAGAAAGGTTTGCATTAGCCCAATCAGTTGTTATTTTAGGATGCTATAACAATACTATATATATTTACCTAATTAAACGTAACTGTTATTTTAGCTAAAATGTGTCTTGGATACAACGACTAAAAACTGCAACGTGACAATAAACTGTATTATCAGCTAATTCACAAAATGCGGACATGAAATTCTCGGTATGTAATATATCTATAGATGATAAATATTTTCCACGTCGTTTCAACAGCAGGCTAATGATGTCACTTTGCAACTGATACGTTCAAACCGTGGGAAAGTAGTGCAGCCGTATGGTGAGAGATAAAAGTTTGACAAATAGACTTGTACTTTTTTGGTCTAAGTAAATGTAAAACCCGGGTGCGGCTGTATGCAATACCGTTCACGCTCGGTGAGAGGTGAATGGAACAAGCGAATGTTGCTAGGCCGACAACATTAGCGTGTGCCAACGCGCCCGAACAATGAACTAGCTAAATGACGCTCACTCTGTGGACGTCACTAATGTAAATACAGAATCCCTCGTAGGTTGGAGAGGAATTGCGTTGTTAAAAGTCAACGCCTTACTACCATCAAATTTATCTTTCAATTGCTATTGATAATTTTAGTTCCACCATTTTTATTGCAGAATGCGCGAATTTTTGTTATTTACCCACATGATTGACTCTGAACAATCATCTTTAGGCGTAGGTGTTTATAAAATCATATAAAAAATAAATGTAAGGTGGCCAAATAATATTCACTTCTATTTGAATAATGGTGCATTTAGCCCAAAATTATTTGGTGCCCACCTTAGAAGCGGAACTTTCAGCTATGAGCAAAGACACATCCATAACCACCTACATATACACCTTCTTTATCAGCCGAATAAGTACACCAATGGTAAACTCTGTCAATATATAAAGTAAAATAGCAAAACTATGTATAATAAATATACATTCTATCGATATTGGGTCAAGGTAAAACACAAAATACTGATTGGCAACATTTAATTTGGTATACAAACAAATACGATATCTACAGCAGAAATTGAAACGTCCCGAAAGTGAATTGAATACTGAACGAGCCTGTGGAGGGTGGATTAATTGTTAATTGGATCACAACACGTACATTTATTATTGAACCAAATTTAAAATGCTACAATATCAAACAGTGCTTAATTGGAGAAATAAAGTGGATTTTGTATATGAGAACTTCCATTTTACGTCATCTACTAATTATGTTTTTTTTTGAAGAGCCATACATTTATAGCGTTTACAAAATCGAGAAATCGAAGTCGTAATGGATAACATGAAACGTTAATATTTCTCGAGTGGAATGTAGAAAGTGGCCTCTTCGATATAAGGGTCATCTTGCGAAATGCATGTGACCGAGCCATCTAGGGATATATTAAATATTGCACGCACCTTTTGAACTTCAACTTCTCATTATCCATATCATTAAGCAAAGTTGAAAACATGGTAACCGTTAATAATAATTAATAAGAGAAATAAAATTATTCTCCAAAGAATGAATAAATTATATATTGCATTTATTCATCAATCTTAATTGAAACTCAAATAGAAATATTTTTTGACCATAATTTTATATGACTGAAAATGGCAAATAAACACTTTTTGTAGTGGTAGTATATGACCCATACAGTAAGAATCTTACATAAAAAAAGGTTTACTGCGCAATTTTTATTAAACCGTTTCTCGGCGAAAATTTAAACAAAGTACAAGCCTTATATTATTTCTGTGTAACTAGGTATGACTTTTTCTGTGAGATTTCACCAGCTATGTTTTCTTTTCAGACTGAAATAGAACACCATACATATTATGTATTTCTTAGCAAAAATGGGTTAGATAGTGTATAGCAGTCCCTGGTAGATAACTTACCAGTTTGCTATACTAAGTTGCATAAAAATTTAAACTACATCACAGTTGCCCACGATGACACGATGAGAGCCCTTGGGTAACGTATGTTTATGATATGTACCTATAACATTTTTGTAGAATAGCCGATTCAGTGATTACCATTGTCTCGAGTGTTTTCGAAAAGTCTAAGATATAATTTCAGGTAAGAAGGTAAAAGAAATCTAATCTGTGGTAGCAAAATAAACAACTCCTTGTAAAATATCAATGAAACGGACAATTAACTGCAACACAGAGTGCATAAATTGCAAATAGTGAATAATAAAAATTGTTTCATGCTAGGTAAACAAACAAATTCTTTCTTCAATGAAATTCTGATTATGTCCGCCCTTATCTCGATTGCGTTTTAATTAGCCACTTGGCTCGGATTTCTGTAGACCTCGACATGACGGCGATGCACTATCTCAGGTTTAAGTAACAATTAAATAATCGCCAGGGCGTGTCGCGGCAACCTTGTGTCTGTTGCCGTGTTGCAACCCGTGTCAAGGAAAAACCTACTTCACAGTTTCCCTGGCCGCGACATACCTACTTGGAAGTTCGCATGCAACTACAGAAATAAACTTTTTAGTAGTTTTTCTATTTTCTAGCTAGTGAGTTTTTATGTCATTGTTTCTCTATGCCATAACATACGTGTAATAAGTATCCTGTTTATGAAATTGTATTTTCATTGTGTATTACGTTATATGTAGCGTGTCTCAATTTCTCTATGACCTGAATAAATTTGCAAATCAATGGAAATGAATTGATTTGTCAGATATTAAATATATAAAATGACATTTAGTATTTGTAAATAAAAAAGGAGGTCGATATTGTACCTACAGTATAGATGATAATCGTTATATAAAAATATAATGAATAATGAAATTGATATATAATTTAATATTGTAATTCACAAAAAAAAAAAAAAACTTCAATCGTGGCAAAAGCAGTTAATTTATAAACTAAACAGATTTCATAAAATTTCTATGTGACAAATCTT